AACCGTAATTAGGTTTTTCTAGTACGGGTTTGAGCTGAGGGTCGAGGTTCCAGGATCCTTCAGCATCCCTTGCAAGCACATTTGGGATTGTCTTGCTGTTTGTTTTGAGGGTTTTGTGGTTCCGCTTATAGGGGTCGAAAAGTTGAACACTGGCTATGTAGCGGGCCGGGACAACTCGAATATTGCTGTTGGTGGGGTATGGTGGGGTATGTTATATCATGTTACTGTCGTCATACGGAACCCTGAAAATACTCATGCTACTTAATATCTACTTAATTGTAAGCTCCATACGCACATTAAGACAAATATTTCTTCAGGCCTCCGCTAAGCAAAAGCCAGCATGTTTCGGCGTAGACGCCTAACAGGCACTTCAGCTGCGAGCCTTTGACCTTGAGGGTCTGTGCACCTATGACTTCAGATGGTTGTAGCCTGTGATGTGGAGTACGTTTTTTCATGACTAGCACCAAGGTTCCTACAGAGGCACACTAGGTCAAAGTAGCGACCCCAAAACCTTGAAAGCATAGCCCACTTGCACGCAGTAGTGGACCTCCCTGCACTCCATAGTAGTTCCTTTTTGAGGTTCATATTTAGAATTTATACGGTACTCCAAAAAAGGAATTACTATGGGGCCTATGACTAGAAGCCTTACACCCAAAGCCCATGGGCACCCGGATCCTTACGCTGGGTGGACCCTTACCTTCAGCACGAAATGAACCCCAAAAGGGTTTAAGGTAGGGATTCATAGTATATGGGTATAGGGCCCCTACTTTTAAGGATCATTTGGTCCTTCAGGTAGGATGCCAGTGCATCCGGCTTGGGATTTATAGGGCTTACATGTTTAGGGTTCACCAGGTAGCCGGGTTCAGGAACTACGGGTTTAGGCGTTACAGGGTTTAGGGTGTAGGGCTCACAGGGTTGATGTAGGGTTTAGGAGTTATGCGGTTTAGGCTTATTTGGGGGTGCAGGGTAAACCCTGAACCCGAAACCCTCGGGCCGAAACTTGTTCATCCACACGGCTCACGGCGCATAATGCAGGGGCCTTGAAATTGGAATAGGGTTTGGGGGATAGAGTATACTAGTATTACAATAAGGAACCCCCAGAACCCTGTTCTAATTATTAAGGCCCTTACATTAGAGTTACATGAGTCTGTTGGGTTCCACCCGAGGCTGCCGGAGCCGTCCCGGATGCAGCGACTGTCTCAGCATACCTGGACACCCAGTCGCTTGTGTAGGATTCTGTTCATGTCGTCTTTCTGTCAGTACGTAGCTATATATATATGTATATGTATATAGAAAAACTGTGTATATATATATATATATATGCATGTATATATATATATATAGAGAGAGAGAGAGAGAGGGGGCTTTCAGTTGAGGTTTGGGGAGCTCAGAGTTGGGCATCTTGGGAAACTGTGATATGAAGTTCTGGGTATGCAAGTTATGCAAGGCTTCACCTTGTTCGCTGTCCCAAACCCTCATCCCTAAACCCTAAAGCCAATCCGAAATTGCAAGTTCGCTGTCATAAACCCTCACCCCTGAACTTGAACCCTAAACCAATAGCAATTACAGGGGAGTTGGCCGCGCAGCTGTAACGGTTTCGCGGTGCCTTGGAATACAGCCAGAGGCCACCTTCCATGTGACATGGAACACGCTGTGAGGGGATCTTTTGAGCGACGGTCCGGACAGTGTTTTCCTCGACCGGATGTTTGATGAGCTGGCAAAAGACCTTGCCAGACTGAACAGCGAGCGATGGTGCTAAGATTGGCGGGTTGACACGCTGTTACACGCATGTCAGCAGATGTTCAGGCCAGAATATGCGACTCGTGTTTGGCAGGGCAGGCCAACTATGCTTGGGAAAATTTCGTCGATGCGCCTTCTTTTTGGATGCCAAGTGTGGGGACCGAAGAGTCCTGGGAGCAAAGCCATCGCCGATTGCATACCCTAAGAGTCCAAAGGACACAATAATTAGGTACTTGGGTTTAGGAGAGTAGTTATGTAGGTCACCATTTGGGAGAGTATATGATAATTAGGTACTTGGACTCTTAGGGATACTGATTCTTCGAACCGAGCCTCGTTCTTCCGTCTGGCATTGCTTGCACTTAGACGTTAAACCCGACACCCTAATGAATACACGAAAAATTCTGCCTAATATCCTAAACCCCAAGGCCTATTCCCCAAACCCAAAACTCCTAAATCCTAAGCCCTAAACGCTAACATCCGATACCCTGAACCCTTTCAGGTAGACCAAAGAAAAGCAACCCCAAATCCCTAAGCTGGCCCCTAACTGCAGCACACATGCCCCCAAAACCCCATACCCCAACCCCTAGCACTGAACCCTGCTACATACACCCTAAAACCCTAAACCGTAAACCCCCAACCCTAAACCCTAAAAGCTCTAAACCTTAAGCCCTAAACCCCAACCCCTGAAACACCAAACCCCAACCCCTAATGGCCCAAAGTTTGCTCTCTGAGGCTTCGGTGCGAAAACACGTCGCCCTGTGTGGGCACCGGCGTGCAGAACGAAAATGATCCAGGGTGCATTGCGCTGTACTTGGAGGGGTCGGGGGACTTAGTAAGTAGGTAGCAAGTAGGCTTTTAAGTACCCCAAAAGGGACCCTAATTGAAATTATGGTACTTATAAGCCCCTAAAAGAACCAGCTGCTAAGTCCCCCCCCGACCCTCCAAGTAGGGTTTAAGCAGTGCAGGGTTCCTGGTTTCAGTGGTTCGGATCTGGGGTTCAGGGCTGGTTCATTGCTCTGTAGGGTTTCGGGTTTAGGGTTCATTCTGCTAGGGGTTTGTGTCTAGGGCTTTAGGGCTTTAGGGTTTAGGGTTTAGGGTTTAGGGGTTAGGCTTAAACGGCTTAGAGGTCGGCGGAGAGTTTGCTGCTCCTGGCTGTCAGTACACGAACCCGCACTCTTGATTTGCGCCCGACCCTGGCCCTAATCCCTACATCACCTTTCTTTGCCCTCCAGCCTGTGCATGAACCGTGCGGGTTTGGACCCAAACCCTGAACCTATCAACCTCAAACCCTAAACCCTGAGGCTGAAACCCCAAACCCTAAACCCTGAACCCTAAACCCAAACCCTAAACCCTGAACCTTAATAAACCCCAAACCCTAAACCCTGAACCCTAAACCCAAACCCTAAACCCTGAACCTTAATAAACCCCAAACCCTAAACCCTGAACCTTAATAAACCCCAAACCCTAAACCCTGAATGAACAGTAAACCTTTAACCCGACAGCTGGTTGCCTCAATGCTTTCCCTGTCTGTGGTTGCGGTCTCTAGGGGATCTATAAGGGTTCTGTAAGGGTGTTGGGTTCAGGGTTCAACTTACTACACGAGGGATATCGAACATACCCCCTCCAGGCACTTTTGCCACGAATCCCCAAGACTGTTAAGTCAAGTGACACAGGGCTCTAGCAAACATCTACCCAAATCCCTCAACACCTTATCCCATGAACCCCGAACCCTAAACTCTGATCCCTGAATCCCTGCCACCCTTCGCCGCAACAGACTCTAGACCTAGGAATCCTTTCCTGGCATGACTTCAAACATCCCTTCGAGGGGCTCTCGGGGTTTCGGCTTGGGGACTAGTCATGGGACTTAGTAGCTAGGGTTATAAATAAGGTAACGATACTTATAACTCCAATTAGGAGCTATTCCATAACAGGGTCCGAAGGGTTCCTGTATGGGCAGCTTCGCGAAAGAGTTTAATCTTGATCAACATCGTGCGGACATGCGAGAACGCATCCAAGCCTCAAAAGCTCCCATGAATCCCAAACTCATCCACACTCAGGGTTCAGAATAGAAGCCCAAAAGTTGGAAACCCAATAACCCCAATCCTGAAGAGTAATGTATAGGGAATCCCATCCCAGCACTATTTGGCCTCAATTCCGGTTTCCAACTTTGTGGGGTTTTCGTGTGTGAGGTTTCGAGTTCCGGGCTTCCTTCACCCGGAATAACCTACATTTTAAGGACTTACATAAGGAAATCAGAATAAGGATGCCCAAAAAGGTGGGTTATTCAGGGTAAAGGGTTTAGGGTACCCAGAGGCCCAAAGTGGTTCCTTTTTGGGGTTGAATATAGAATCCTATAAGAAAAATCCCAAAAAGGAACTACTTTGGGGCCTATGGGTAAGGTATACAAACCCTAAACTCCAAGCCTCTAAACCTTAAACCCTAAACCCTAAAAGCCATAAATCCCTAAAACCTAAATACTAAGGTTCAGGTTCCTAAGTCCCATGGATCCCGCAAAGCTGATTCCCTGACTGCAGCCGCCGACCTGATCGCTCTCGGAGCGCCAAGCTGGCTTTAGGGTTCAGGGCCTTAAGCCCTAAACTCTATCTTAACCCGGAAGAACCTACATTTTTTCAGGACTTATACAAGGAAATCATAGTAAGGACCTATACAAACGGATTTTGCTCAGGGTTAAGGAAGAGCCTAAACCCTAAATCCTAGGGTTTAGGGTTCAGGGCCTTAAAAAACTTATAGCCTAAAGCCTACAAATCCTCATAGCCTAAGCCCTAAACCTTGTTTCATAGCGGCTGTAAGTCCTGTTTGCCTCCCAAAGCCTCGAAGCCCTTAGATCCGAAACCCTGCAACCCTACAGTTGGAAGCCCAAAAGTTGGAAACCCAATAGCCTCAATCCTTAAGAGTACTATATAGGGAATCCCAGCACTATTTGGCCTTAATCCGGTTTCCAACTTTATCGGGTTTACTGTAAGTTTACCCAACCGCAAGCACAGTGAAGAAAGATGTCGCAAGAGTTGTCAACATTGGTCCGTGTAGTCCCCTGTTTCTGGGTATAGAAGCCCCCCCCCCAGTCTTAGTCAGGGCTTCTATACTGAGCCCTTATGGAAATCCTTGTTCGATTTTTTTTCCATGTACAGCAACCCTAACTTATAGATCTCAAGAGCCCCTCTAGCACCCGCAAACCCAGAAACCTCGGTAGCATAGCCCTCAGCCTACCCGCGATCATATGGGGCGCATGAGCTCTGCCGATGGCGACTATTCAGGAGATTCGCAAGAGGTGTTTAATATAGGTGATTGAAGAATCAGAATAAAGTTCGCCGGTAGGTAACAAATCCTAAATCCTAAACCCTTGTATAAGTGAAAGAATCTTAATGCCTTAGCAAAAAAGACCTAAGCCCTAAACCCTAAAGGTACTTGTCGGGCCTCGAATCCGGGCTCTGGGCTTTGGTCTTAAGCGCTTGGCGTTTCGATTTGTGGGTGTAATTACCTGGGGATCCAGAAGCCTACTGTGTTAAGGGGTATACCCTCTAATTACGGGGTCATCACCTACCATTTTGTAGGGTTTGTGGATACGGGTAGTCTTTGGAACCTTGGATTTCGTGTCTGGAGCGGGTGTGCGGGCGACGTATGACTCACAGGGTTACCACATGCTAGCTACTTTCAGGGGATCTGTAAAGGCGCCTATACTGGTGTTACTCTCAGGGCCACTTTGAGCGGGTGAATCCGTCCTCGACCCTACCCAGAGGCCCCAAAGTACCTCCTTTTTGGGGTTTATATATAGACTCCGATTAAAAGGTAATCCCGAAAAGGAACTTTATTTGGCGCCTCTGGGTAAACCTTAAATCCTAACCCAGCAGCTGATAGAACTCAGTGGGTTGAGGGTCCATGTTTGGGGCCTCAGAGGGACGTTTCAAGTTCAAGGTCTAGGGCGCAGAGAATCCTGGGGTGTTCGGGCTTTGGAGACTTTGGGGTTAAAGGCTTCAGTGGTAAGGCGAACCGAATGACGAGCAGATATGGGATAGTTGTTCGAGTTGTGTTGATAGAGGAGCAGTAGCAACAGCAGTGGCAGCAGGAGTACATAGCAGTGGAGGTAGTAGTCGTAGTAGTAGTAGTAGTAGTAGTAGTAGTAGTAGTAGTACTAGTACTAGTACTAGTACTAGTACTAGTGCTAGTGCTAGTACTAGTACTAGTACTAGTACTAGTACTAGTACTAGTACTAGTACTAGTACTAGCCGTAGTAGTAGTAGTAGTAGTAGTAGGAGAAGGAGTAGGAGTAGGAGTAGGAGTAGGAGTAGGAGAAGTAGTAGTAGTTGTAGTCGTCGTAGTAGCAGTAGTAGTAGTAGCAGTAGTAGTAGTAGAAGTAGTAGTAGCAGTAACAGTAGTAGTAGTAGTAGTAGTAGTAGTAGTAGTAGTAGTAGTAGTAGTAGTAGTAGTAGTAGTAGTAGTCGTAGTATAGTAGTAGTAGTAGTAGTAGTAGTAGTAGTAGTAGTAGTAGTAGTAGTAGTAGTAGTAGTAGTAGTAGTAGTAGTAGTAGTAGTAGTAGTAGTAGTAGTAGTAGTAGTAGTAGTAGTGGTAGTGGTAGTAGTAGTAGTAGTAGTAGTAGTAGTAGTAGTAGTAGTAGTGGCAGTAATTAGTCCTGTTAAAGAAAGAACCTCCAAGACTGCTGTCGATCCCAAGCTTAACGGAGAACTGCGAGGATTATGCCTAGTTAGTCCCGAGCCGCAAAGATCCCCGCCTAAGCCTTACTCAGCCTGAGACTCTAAGCCCTAAACCATGCTACACCACAAACCCCTAGACCCCTTAACCCCAAAGCCCTAGACACTAACTAAACCCCTAGAATCTAGACCCTAGACCCTGAACCCTGAAACCGTTCGGGCTGAAACCGACGTGCCGATTCGCTCAAGGAGGAAGGTGGACCAAGCTTGGTCGAGCTGCTTGGCCTACTATTACCAGAATATCTTACACGTGTAATAGAGCTCAGACTGGGGCTGCAATAATGGGCTTCTGGGGTGCTAACCCGAGATTAGGCAGGGGCCGTAGGCCTTGACTTGAATACCAAGACTATTTTTTGTTATTTGGTGTGTACATTGTAGTAGAACAGTAACGACAATAAGGAACCGTGAAGCTTCGTGGGGTTTTCGGTTTAACTTGTAGAGGTTTCTGGGTTTGGGGAATTAGGGTCGACGGCTGAGGGATTCGCTTCTTGTCTGGAATGAAGGGTTGGGGTTAGGGGTTCACGTTTCTTGGCTCGGGCTTTGTGTCCTTTAGCTTTGCAGGGTTCCCGAGGACATGCAGTCCGAAAGCCCCTTTTTCTCCAAGTATCACGGGCCCGAGACTCCCTGAACTACTTTCCCGAAACCCGAATCCAAGCCTCCCTAATCCCTAACCCCCCCCCCCCCCAGTCGCGTAAGCCCTTGCAAACCGTCAGCCCTGCAACCCCAAACCCCACTACAAGCTCTAGACTAAAAGTATCAGATGGAGTTCGGTCGTCGTGAGCTTGCTCCCAGGAGTGCCGATTGCTTGATTTATACGGGCTAAATCATGTTACACCTTACCCCAAAACCCTAAGAGCACCAAACCGTCACACCCCCAACTACAACAACAACTACTGCTACTGCTACCACTACTACCACCACTACTACTACTACTACTACTACTACTACTGCTACTACTCCTGCGGCTACTGCTGCTACTACTACTACCACTACTACTACTACTACTACTACTACTACTACTACTACTACTACTACTACTACTACTACTACTACTACTACTACTACTACTTCGCGATCTCATGACCTGCTTCTCTGGAGGGTTTGGAGAGCAGTTCTGGGCGTTCGCCCTAGCCAGGTTGAGAGTTTAATGGGTAGTTGTCAAAATTATGGCCCCATTTTGGGTACCCTAAATATTAGGTGCCGTATTATATTAAGGACCCAAAATGGAACCATAATTTTGACAACCACTCTAATGCAGGAGCCTGAACAATTATCAAGCTTAGTAATCATCTTTCAAGCATAATCTGCACCCCAAAAGTTTTTTCTACTTATATTCAAGCCCTATCCCCTAAACCCTGCACTCGAAGCTCTAACTAACCCTAAACTCTAAACCCTAAAACCCTAAACCCCAAACTCTGTTCTGATTATTTCAGCCGCTTTCCTGCAACTTTGGGGCTTCCGCTGTCGGTGCGCTATCGCTCCATGAGCACCCACTTACCCAAATAGTAGGGTTACTTTGGGATTTGGAGTGTAGGGTTTAGGGCGTATTTTATTTATCTTTTATCGGTTCAGGGTGTAGGGTTTTAGCTTTGAGTTTGAGAATTTGAGGCATCGAGGCAAGGATTCCAAAGGAAGGGACTAGACAGGCTCACTAAGAAGGCTTTGTGGGGTTTTGGGTTTCTGGGCAACGAAGGCTTCACAGGATTCTGCGCTATTCTTGTACGTAGCATCTTGTGAGTTTGCTATATAGGCTGTGCGCATGAGCTTGTCTTGCTTCGTTGTGGGTTTTCCCACACACGAAATACCCTGCTTTAGTATTCTTGTCGTCACCTTTCTCCCTTGCCAAGTCCCCTGAAATTGCAGGCATTTTGAAGCCACAGAAATGCGTCAGCGACCGCGTAATCTAGCCCGCTAGCCGGCTCCCGCACTTCCACCCTCAAAGGGAAGCCTCTTTTAGACCCCTGACCCTAAACTCTGAACCTTAAACCCTATAATACCCCATCATAGGACCCTCTAGTACCCATATAGGTTCCCTTAGCTGCGGCGCATATATATATATATATACATATATATACGTATATATATATATATATATATATATATATGTTATATATGTTATATATGTTATATATGTTATATATGTTATATATGTTATATATGTTATATATGTTATATATGTTATATATATATATATATATATATATATAGGTTTTTGTTTATGTACATTTGTACATATGTATATCTTTATATACATATGACTGCACGTTTAGATTTGTTCGATTTGGTGCTTGAAGGGTTTCTGTAAGGGGTCTGTAAAAGGTTTAGGAATTACTGGCGGCTCCAAGAACCTTGCCTTTGTGTTCCCACACGTATAGGGATCACAACTTACCACTCGGGTAGTGTTTGTGGTTCCGGGCAACGGTTCCTCTGCCACGGCGACAAACTCCTAACTGAGTCGGGGGTGCAGGGCGGTACAGTCGATTCATAATGACTGGTGGAGCCAAGGTCCGTTCCTCTTGGAAAGCATAATGTGCTGCTACAGGCTTCTTAGCTTCAACTCCCACAGTAATTTTGCCAGGTTTATACGTGGATGCCTCAGAAGGCGTATTATTACCAACTCCCAAGACTCGAGGACCTTAGGATCGTTTCAGAATTTTCTAGTTAATAAAGGACTTACCCGCAAATGCTACGGTTAATGTTGGTTCTGTCCACCAGTCAGCTGAGAATTGGAGAGGGTTTCGCTTAGGTTTTTGCAAATGGCTCTCAAGAAGGTTTCCAAATGTTGTGTGTGAGGCAGTGCAGTACACTTGTGGTCGAAGTGCGAAAACGCTACGCGACAACGGCTGCACCCACATTCTGCACAGTTGCAAGTGTACCTTCTACACCTGAAGTCCTGAACCCTTGTGAAACCATGTCAATTTGATCGACGCGGGAGCAAACACAGTATTCGCGAGAAGTCGTCAGCTTCGGAAGTCCTGGCAAACATTCCTGTGTGACGCTTCTACATCTGTAATAAACTGACGCCCATACACCTCAAATCGTTTCAATGGTGCGCTTCCTTGCATTTGTTGACAAGTTCAAGCTCCGGAGTTGGGACTGCACTGGACGAAGTTCTTGTCGTTTGCGTGCTATCATCTTGGTTGGTGGAAACTCCTCCCCTCCCGGCCCGTGGTGGGATGCAGGTGGCCGGTGTATCCGGTGTGGTGCGGTTCGTCTGGTGGCTGTGGGGCATACGACTGCATACGATGGGGAGGGGTGGGGGGGGTTCGGCTAACCGGGAACTGGCTCGTGTCTACAATTTCCGATGCCTCCAAACTCTTTTTGTTTCGGCACACTGTTGGCATAATGCATCCAGTGCAGTAGAGGTCTTCGGTAATTAACCCGAACATCATCATGAAAGATTCTGATAGAAGCTATGCAGTGCGATTCCACGTGTTGGCCAGGCCGAAGTCTGAAATTATCGTTAAATGAACGTGCTTCAAATTGAGGTCCTATTGTCTAAGCTAGGTCGGCCTAACTGCCCTCCAAATCTCCTATACATGAAGCAACGCATGTTCCTTTAGGTTCCTTTCCGGTGCCTGGCTGTCAAGTGCACCGCTTCTCCGAAGCCAACTGGTCGGACACGCGGAACGGGTTCATCATAGCAGGAAAAGGCGGTTTTCAAAATCTGATTACCATATTCAGACACGTCACATTGCGGTTAGTTGGTCTATTCCTTGATGTAGTAAGGGTTGTAGAGGGTTAGTTTCAGGGGTCAGGGCGCGGAAAGTCTGCCGCGTTGATTTAGGATGGTTTACGGTTTCATCAGATGTGGTGGCAAAAGCAGGTTTTGCTAGGTCGGGTCCCAGCGTGTTCAAAAATAGCAGGAAGGGCCTTTGCAAACAAAACGTCGCCGCTGTCTTCCTTAAGATGCAATCTGACCCTCCGCTAAACTAGCAAAAAGCTGTTTCCTGTTCTGCCTACGGTTGTCCCCGATTACTCAGTTTTCCTGCACGGGAAGCGCATCCTTTAAAGGTTCCTACTTACTTATGATGTTTTATCATCTGCGCTTAGAGACCAATTTTGGGTTTTGGAAGATCAGATCCTCAAGCCTACGCGTCGAACCCAACACCGTATTTGCAAAACTCGAAACCCTGTAGGTGGGACACTGCCTGGCAGTCGGAGCCATCGCTACAAGAAGCTGGCCTGCTGTACTTTCAGCAGCCGGACTCGTTTTGGACATGTTTCGGCCTGTGAAATGATTCCTGTATTAGGGTCCTTTGAGATTTCAAGGTTTCCTATCAGGGTTCTATACGGGTGGCAGTGTCTAAGGACATACGCAGGGATGTAAAGTGCGTAGGAGCGTAGGGTTGCGGCATTGAGGCTGGTGGGATCAGGGCTTGCTTCAAGGTTGACGACTGTTGGATGAGGGTTGTGAGATTGCAGTTTGAGGTGTAGGGGTGTGCGGTTTATGCTTTGGGGATTCGTGGTGTGGGGTTTAGTTTGGGTTCAGCGCTCTCCGGATTGACAGACGATGGTGTGAGGTTTGGGAGTACGAAAACGCGGCTTGGTGTCTCGCGTCCTTTCCCAGCTTCATGTAGAAGTAAACCTAACTTGACTTTATTGTTCGATTGTGACTGGCTTGGATGTGGATTCACGAAGGGAGAGGCGAGAACACTCTGAAGTTTCAGCAGCGCAGAGTCGGGTGTGATAGGAGTTTCAGGGTTCAGAGTGTTTCAGGAGTTTGGTGTGTGTGTGTGTGTGCATGCCTGAGCGTCCGTTTATGTGTACAAACCCTAAACAGTCGCTGCTTTGAGTGAGTAGTATATAGCAGGACAGAAACATGGAATCACATTCTTCAGGCAGTACAAGCCAGCGGCAGAGCCAGAGCCTGCGCCAGTGGCGCGTCTGTGGAATGACGACCTTCAGGATGTGCAAGCCAGGGTCACAGAGGCGGTACTGGCGACGCAGAAGGACCTTCGCCTCTGAACAGTGGCCAAGAATGAGGTCGGTGGCAAAACCCTAAAGCCTAAACCGGACATCACGGACCCCGTCAGCATGGTCAATGCGATTGAACCGGTCATCCACCTGCTGAGCCATCAGCAGTGTCACAGGGTGTGGTGGGCCTGGATATTTACGTACACTTCTTCTTTTTTTTTTTTTTTGGGGGGGGGTGGGGTCCATATTATAAGTATAGTACAACTGGCCCCAAAACCCTATTCTAATTATTGAGGCCCCTCTATTATTATGTGTGGACAGACAGCCGGGTGATCCACGAACCCAGCGAAGCCTACTGTCGGAGTCACAACATCCTGGCACAGGCCCGGTTACCTAAAGCGACAGGCCTGCTGCGCAAGACGTTCAAGGACAACACATGATATGGGAGTTTCCGAAAATCCGAGGTACCTCATTTTGGGGTCCTTCTAATAGGCCCTATTTTCGGAAGATCATATCGTGATTTATCCAATGGCATACTTTAACTTTGACTGCAATACCTGGCAAGAATGCTGCACACATGCAGTTTCCAGGCGTGTAAAATCAACCCTCGAAGACCCTAGCAACAGCCTCTTAAATCCTAAACCCCGTCACCGTCTACAGTAGAAGCCCAAAAGTTGGAAGCCCAGTAGCTTCAATCCTCAAGAGTAATGTAAAGGGCAAAGGGAATCCCAGCTCCATTTGGCCTTAGCCCGGTTTCCAACTTTATGGGGTTTACCGTATGTTTTCATTAGGGTTTGGGGCTCGGGGTTCGGACACTATGACTTTAGGGTTCGGGCTTGGGTTTTACTGTAGGGTTTGGGGTTTACTTGGATGTTCATGGGTAGTTATAAGTGGGGTTATAAGTCCCCGAATATGGCTTATAAGAATATAGTATAGTTACCCTACTTGTAACCCTACTTATAACTACCCATGAACCTCCAAGTAAACCTTTTACCTTTAAGGTACCCATACATAGAACCCTTTAAAGGAACCCTTATAGTACCCTTTAAAGGGTCCTTTTCCAAAAAAATCGTGGAGAAGATGAGCCTCGAGCCCTGGTCGGTCCTCCGAGCAGAGCCAGTATGCCACGAAGACATGGCTAAGGGTTTAAGGTTTAGGGTTATTAGGGCTAAGGGTTTAGGGTTAAGGGTTTAGGGTTTACGGGTTTAGGGGTTTAGGGCTAAGGGTTTAGGGGTTTAGGGGTTTAGGGTTTAGGGTTCTACTCGATAAGCCTCAAGACTTGCAGCCCTACAAGCCCTATTTTTCTATCTATCTTTTTGAATTTCATTATCAGGCTATCGCTATCTCTCTCTCTCTCTCTCTCTCTCGCTCTCTATCTCTCTCTCGCTCCCTGTCTCTCTCTCTCTCTCTCTCTCTCTATATATATATATACATACAACATGTAGCTGATGTTCATGACCATGGCCCTTGGTGCGAGTAAAAGATTCAAAGATCTCAAAATCTAAACCCTGCGAACCCCTGAAGTGTAAGCTGGGCTTCCTACGATGGTTTCCTGCAATATGGGTCCTTGTACAGATCTAAGCCCTAAAGCCTACCCTAAACCCTAAACCGTCGTTTGGGGCCTAAGTAAGCCCCAAGCCTCCCTGCAGCAGCCCACTCTAGGGGCCTGAAGAATATGGCTTTGGGGCCCACTATACGCTAATTATGACAAGGAACCACCAAAATAGTATAGGTAATATATTTGGGCCCCTATTTCACAGAACTCTAGTATGGATCCCTTATAGACCCCTTAAAGGAACCCTTTAATGAATTATTGAGTCTCCTATATCATGACGTTTGCACTTGGAGAAGCCGAGGCTTGTTGCGATGCCGCCGAGTGCCAGGAGCTGTCGGGGGCAGATACCTGCACACACTTACATTAAATGAACATACAGTTAGTGGATATGTATATATACAGTTATATAGAGAGATAGATGTTGACAGATGTATATACAAGCCTGAACCTATGGTTATGTATGTATGTACCTACGAAAGTATGTATGTATATATGTACGTATGTATGTATGAATGTATGTGTATGCATGCGCATACAAATACCTTTGAGTTGTTTATGTTTTATGTATATGTATATACATATATATATATATAGGCATTCTTGTTTGGGCGCTGAAAGGTATATTTCATGCAGCAGCACGACGTCAACAGTGTGCCAAGAGAGCAGCTGTGTCCAAACCGCAATCATTCAGATCATGCACGCCGATGCGCCTTTGCAATGTGCACACACGACACGCATGCACGCAAAGATCTACACAAACATACAGGTGCATGGAGGGCTCCATGTCTGTGTGCCTAGATAAGGGCGAGAAGTATGTGCAAGTAGATTCATAAGGTTAGTGTTCTTAAGGTTAGTGTTCTTTCCTGGCTTGACCAGCGAATTGCCACGACTGGCCGCACAATGGCTGCAAGCGAGTTTGAAGCTGAGACTGAGAAAATCGCTGCGGGTGAAGCCTTTGCCAGCAGTGCAACTGGATCCAAAGTCAAGCTCGGACGCACGCCTCCGTGCGATAGTTCTGGCAAATTTCATGCATGGATTGAAGGTGAATCTGAAACCGCCATCTGCCAGACCTGCTGCTACCTCGTGCCGAATTCAGAACCTTAAGCCCCAAACCCAGAACCCCTGGACGAGCAGGAGGCAGTCCTAGCTGTGGTTGCCAAGCACGGAGACGATCCGGCTGTGCGCGACTGGGCCCAGGAGATCTGAGTCTTGCATAAGGGATCTACAAGGGTACTATAATATAGCCTGAATAATTAGAACAGGGTTTTTGAGGTATATTATACCATAATTATTATAAGAAGCCCCCACAATAGTATATGTAACTATTGGGGCCCCTATATTCGGGTACCTCTAGCCCTGTGCGTCTAGCTCAAGCCCATGTATCCGGGTAACCGGGTCGTCGGTAGTGTACTAGGTATCGATTTGGGATAGTGTTGAATTTCCTTTACCTTATTGTTGAATATAGAGCTCTAATTATCAAAAGATTCGGGGGACTGTTGACATCGACACGTAGTATAAGGTTTCAAGACGGCTCAATGGTAACTGGGCTCCTTGCTTGTAGGAGTACCAGACGCAACTTGCATGGCATGTTTGTTTTTGGAGGTCTGCTGACCCAACAAACCTTCCTTGCGGAAGCTCCATATTATGAAACGTGCGTATAAAGCCTCGAATCGTGGAAATGTTGTTTTGTTTGAGGGCCATGTGACGCCTAGGGCATGAAGAAAAAACCCTCGGACAACACAAGAATCCCATACCCAAAGTGGTTGAATAACTTTTTTCTCCAGTCACTGTATGATAAGATCAATAAAGTATCTTACAATATTTTACTTGGAATATCCCCCCAAAACCTGCTCCACTTCAGTAAGCCACCTAATGTAGGAACCTGGTTAAATCCCCTGGGCATGTAACCCCCAAATAGTAGGATTCATATCAGGAACCGTAATAAAGGACCAAGGTTTCTTAATCAGGTTCCTGTATATGTTCTATAACCCTTATAGATCTCTTATATGTAACCCTTATAGACCCCTTTTAAGGAACCCTTATGCCGAAGGTTCCTTAATCAGGTTCCTACATTATTATATTCCCGTCATATATCCCTCACAGCAACCCCGAAAAGACCCCTTTTACAAAAGGAGTTCGGCCCAAGGTTTCTTAATCAGGTTCCTACATGATTGTATAACCCTTGTAGATCCCTTACAGTAAGGGGTTATAGACCCCTTTAAAGGAACCCTTGTTGAACCCAAGATCCTTGAGGAGTGCAGCCAAAAGGATTCTCTCGCGGCCGGCTTCCGTCTTCGGCTCTACGCGCGCTATGCCAAGGCCGTAAGGTACAGTGGATGTTATAAATCCTGCATTACCTTAAGGACCCTAAACTATGGGAACTATGGTATAGTCCTTATTATGGGTAATGCCGGATATATATATATATATATATATATATATATATCATCAACAGTAGGGCTGAGCCGCGTTGTGTAAGCATCCTATGTCTGGTTAGATACAGACATATATATAGATATTGATATACCTATATATAGAGTTGTATATCTGTCCATATGCCTGTGGAAAAGTCGATGTATCCATCATATGTGCATATGTATATGTAGATGTATACACTATGTATAGGTATATGTTTCTGTTTGTGTAAATGTAGATTCATATGTGTATGTATATGTACATATATATATATATATATATATAGTTATGTATACATATATGTATATGTTTAGGTATGCGTGTATGTACATGTATATGTATGTGCTTGTGTATGTGCATGTGCATGTGAGTACCTGTATTTGTCTGTGTCCTTGTATGTGTATATGTAGGTTTATATGTATATGATTTGTCTATGCATATGCATGTGTTTATGCATTTGTCTAGGTATATGCATGTGTTTATGCATTTGTCTATGTATATGTATGTGTATATGTATATGCATGTGCATGTGACAATGTGCATGTGTATATGCATTCGTCTATGTATATGTATGTGTAGAGTGTATACATTTCTCTATATGCATATGTCTATGTATATGTACACGTATATGTATATGTGTATGTACATGTACATGTATATGTATGTGTATGTTTGTATATATATATATGTATATATGTAGATGTAAATCTAGACCTAGATGTATATGTATGTTGTATATTGTATGTACGTCTGTATCTATCTATCTAGCTATCCATCTATCAAAAAAGCTAGATAGAGAGAGAGCGAGAGAGCGAGAGAGCGAGAGAGCGAGAGAGCGAGAGAGCGAGAGCGAGGGAGGGAGGGAAGGCGGGAGAGAGAGAGAGCGAGAGAGCGAGAGAGCGAGAGAGCGAGAGAGCGAGAGAGCGAGAGAGCGAGAGAGCGAGAGAGCGAGAGAGCGAGAGAGCGAGAGAGCGAGAGCGCGAGAGCGCGAGAGCGATAGAGAGAGAAGGAGAGGAGAGAGGAGATGAGAGAGAGAGAGAGAGAGAGAGAGAGAGAGAGAGAGAGAGAGAGAGAGAGAGAGAGAGAGAGAGAGAGAGAGAGAGAGAGAGAGAGAGAGAGAGGAGAGGGAGAGGGAGATGGAGAGGGAGAGGGAGAGGGAGAGGGAGAGGGAGAGGGAGAGGGAGAGGGAGAGGGAGAGGGAGAGGGAGAAGAGAGAGAGAGAGAGAGAGAGATAGAGAAGGGGGGGGGGGGGTTGCTCGAGGTGTTCTGCAAGTGCGCTAGTATGGCTCAGGACTTTGGGGTTGTCAAAAACTTGAAGCTTCCAGGGATCAGGGCATTTGAGGTATAAGGGCTTTTGGGCTTATAGGGTATTGACAGTATTGAAGGCTTTTGGGCTTGAAGAGCCTTGCGGAAGCCCGTCTAGAATCCCGCATAAATCACACATATGGAAGCCGCCCCTTGCAGAAAGCCCGCCTTGCAGAACCCTTTGCCCACACGGTTCATATATGTATGTACATATATATATATATATATATATATACAGGTATATGGAGTTAGGTCGCCCCAAATACGATCTTTATTTTGGTTTTGCTGACCTAATTCCACAATGGTAGTATATGTGGACCCTCTAAACCCTAAACCTAAACTCTAAACCCCGAACTCCGGAGTTAGTGCTTCAAGCGCCCCAGGATCCGGGCAGCGAGGCTTTTGTGGCTTGGAGGTCGCTGCAGCTGTCTGCAGAGGCGGCTGTGCTCCGAGGCCCCCATGTAGAAGGCTTAATATAGGAGCCTTAATATTAATTGCAAATACTATTTTGATGGGTCCTTATAATGATTATAGTAGAATATAAGCTCAAACCCTGTTTAGATTATTACGGCCCGTATATTAGAGGCTTAGGGGGCGTGAGGGTGGGATTTTCGGGGGAGCAAGGCTGTTCAGGGTTCAAGGCTTTAGGTCTTTGGGCCTCAAGGGCTGTAGGGCAAGGGCCTCAAGGGTTTCTGAGGTTTAGGGGAGTAGGGTTTAGGGTTTACTTTAACCTGAGTAACCTACCTTTTTAGTGTTCCTTATCATGATTTCTTTATATATGTCCTTAAAAATGTAGGTTCTTGGGGGTTAAGGTAGGGCTTCTGAAGTTTTAGGGGATTAGGGCTATAGGCTTCCAGAGCGTAGGGCAACATATTGTGAGAACAAGGATCGTGCAGTTTGGGCTCGTGGTCCCCTACAACAAGAGATTCCAGAAACACCTTCTAACCTTCATGGTGGTTCCTGAACCCTGAAACCCCTTCCTTTAAACATAATTAGCTCTTAAAGTCATGATCCGTTTTTTGACTATGAGACCCTGTTTAAGTCTTCGGGAGGTCGTATGACGCTGTGTACCTAGAAGTTTCGGTACATCTGACTTGCATGACCTGCACGGGTGACATTTTAGGCTGGGTCTTAGGTATCGATTTGGGATAGTGTTTAGCTTGCCTTATTGTTTAATAAAGAGCCCGAACTATACATAATTCTGGGCACTGTTGAAATTGGTCTTGACACCTCGTGGAGGGTTTGCTTGGAAGGTCCGGGCAGCTTCTGTTTTCAGCAGCGGAGGTTTGATCTGCTGTGTGCATGGCGCTATGTCGATGCTGGAGGCTTATGACCCCAAATACATCCAAATACCCTAAACTAGACCCAGTAGCCTAGACCCTGAACCCTAAATCACGTGGTTTCTGTGTAGGATCACCCAACCTCTCCAGCCTACAATTCCCAACCCCTGAGGCCTCAACGCAATGCCACGCCAAAGCAGTCTTGCAGCCGCCCAAAACGCCGGCCTCAACCTTAAGCCTAACCGGAGCCTGATACAAAACCCTGTCAAATCCTAACCCCAAACCCTAAGCCCTAAAACTGAAACCCTAAACCCTAAAACTGAAGCCCTAAACCCTAAAACTGAAAACCCTAAACCCTGTAGTCGCAGTATCCTTGTTTTTTTTTGTGTTTTTCTAGTGCGGTCCAACAGCCTGAACCGAAATGAAAGGGAACAGGATATAGTAGGAATTCTAGGATCCCCGTTGTTCTTGTTTTGGGGGTGGGAGCCCGAGTTTTCTGAGATCCGGCTGCTACCCGGACCCCGAAAGTATGTAGAATAATAGGCTTTTTATAGGTTTTGGGCCATTATGTTACCTACTTTTGGGGGTCTAGTAGTATGAATCACTTCGCAGGGGAGCGGCTGCCTCCAGAAGCACTGAGCTTGATCGACGCCTCAAGGCACTGGGGTTCATTTCCCAATCCGTTGTTGTTGCCCTCTACTATAGTCTCCTTAGGAATCATGGTTTATTTTAATACTACCCAAGAGAAGATTGAAAGTTCTATTAAATCATTATGATGGATATAGTCTAGTATACCCAAAACTCCCACTAATACGGGCCATAAGAGCTCTATTAAAGTGCCCTTAGGGGGGTCCTGGTTTTTTCAACGATTCAGGGTCTTTGGATTGGGGCTTCTTGGTGTTTGCGGCTGAACCTGGGGATGTAGCCGAACGGGTCCCCTAAGTACTTAAAGTAGGAATAATCATAGTAGAAACGACTATCGTGGCTAAACCCTAAACCCTATACTAAACCCCTATAAGCCCTAAACCCTAATCTGGGAAAGTATCTGCCATACAGAGACTCAGGACCCTTTGGGTTGTGGAGGGTCAGAGTCGAACTTTCAGTGCTAGGGTTCAGGATTCAGTTGAGAGCTGGGTGGTTGTCAATATTAGGGTCCCTTTTGGGTTCTTATTCAAAACGGCATCTAATGTAAAAAGGGACCATAATTTTGACAACCACCCAGCTGGGGTTTAAGCTTGAGAGTTCAGGGGTTAGGAGGGTTGAGGGTTTAGGGTTTAGGGGACTTGTGGATAGCGGTTTGAGATTTCATTCGTGCTAGGCGCCCGACAGGTCCTCCACGGCTTCGGCTGTTTCCGCATCCGGCGGCCAGACTCCACCGAGGAAACCAACAGTGCCAGTGCAAAACAATGATACCCTCTGACATCAAACGTCCCTCAACATGCGTGATCGCATGCCTCTATATTGCTGGTTTTACTTCCTAGCTGTCATTCACACTCCATGTCTCTCTCCATCGTATGTATGCATGTATGTATGCATGCATGTATGTAGGTAGGCTTGCTTGTTTGAATGTAATCTACACGTGTGTATACTACATAATGCACCAACTTTGGCCTTGACACACGAAGAGCATCGGGTTTAGCTTGACCGGAGGCTGTGGCCGCAGCTACTCGCCCGCCGCGCCGTCCTCGCTGCAGCTGCGTTGATTCACGCAGCGCCACGCTTCTGCTCGGACTCCGATGAGGTTTCACTATCTGAAGTAGTTAGGAGATATAGGGCTCTTTCGGGGCTTTGGGGTGTTTGTAAGTATGTAGGGTTGGCCGTTGCGGAGTTAGTGTGGTGGGTTTCCGGTCTAGGATTTCCCGTTTGGGCTTGTATCTACGGGGCCGCGAGCTCAACGTGGCATGTACTTGTGGTCCGCTCAGTGGTTTCGCTCGTTGATTTTGCAGGTTCGTTTTGGGAGGCTTGGCAACTGTTACATAACCCTTCAGCTTCAAATCCTGTGAGAAGAATGGCATGAACTCTAATTAAACCCTGCCGCTTGAGGCCTTACTGGTCTGATGATGTCCAGACTTTTGTGGGCGGCTGTTTTGCTCTTATGACTTTATCGCCGCAGGTCTCGGCGTGCACATTCGTTGCTCGGTTATTGTCTCGTGGAGGATATACGGATATAAGCCGCGTTACATCACAACGAGCTTGTTGCATGGATTCCTGCCGGCCAGTTCGCGCCCTGATGCATTGTTGTTTGCCCTTGCATGCATTCCGATCCGAGAACACCCACTATTTGGGAGGCACCCCAGTGGCCGTTTCTATAGGGACCCGAAGCCCTAAGCCCTTAAGCAATTAATCACCAAGCCTTAGATCCCTATAAACCTTCAAATATAGATACGGCAGGAGGCCTCTAGCGCTTTGGGGTCACCTTGCAGCCTCAAAGCGAAAGCATGACAGGTTACGGCCCTGGCGAACGCGATGCTGAAGGGCGGTTCGCAAGCTGAGGTGCCTACATGGAGAAAAATCTCAGAGCACCCAATATCCCGTAAATAAGCAATATACCTTCAATCATATTAGCGGTCCTGTTACAATTTAAGGTAATTCCTTAATTAAGGGGTATTGGGATCTCTGGGATGAGGGATTGTTTGCTGAGGGAGGGGTGTGGGGGATGTGTGGAGATAGGAGCTCGCGTTTTGGGCCACTGGGTCTGAGACGGTCTGAGTCATGCTTCAGAACCTTCGCTGAACACGAGAAGCTAGACCCTATATCTTGAGAACCTCCACCAAAATGATTGAAACTCATGCAGGATTGTTCTTTCTGCCGGCCGAGCCAATCCAAGCCATATAAAGCTTCAAGCCCTAAGCACTCTGTAAAGCCGCAGACCTTCAGCCCCGCGCCAGCCCAAAACCCCTCCACACCCTAAGCCGCTGAGCAAAAAAGTTCTGTACCTGGCGCACCAAACGGCGCCTAAGAGTTGCTATATCACCACACCACGAATCCCTAGGTGGTAATTGAACCTTTAAGCCATCTTAAGCCGTTTAAGGTACATGTCGCCCTCGAACTTGAAGTCTCAGGCCAGGTTTGGACCCTAAGCATCTCAAAAAACAAAAAGTGGTTATAGAACACGAGAAAATCTTTATAGGCATCTTTAGGCCCTTTGGAAGCTCTACACCCTTCTAAGATTGAAGCCCGAAACCCTGCATTCTAATTACTAAGTAAGCTTTACAGCCTAAGCCCTAAACCTCAAAGCTATATCACTGTTCTCAAGAACAGTCTTATCCTCAGTCTTATTCTTATTCTTACTGCTTGGAGGTTCATGGGTAGTTATCAGTGGGGCTATAAGTAGGGTAACTATATACTTATAAGCCATATTAGGGGACTTAGAGCCCCATTTATAACTACCCATGAACCTCCAAGTAGGCCCATAGGCCCCAAAGTAGTTCCTTTTTGGGATTACCTTATAGGATTCTATGTATGAACCCAAAAAAGGAACTACTTTGGGGCCTCTGGGTAGGCCCGAGCCGCCTGTGGCATCCTCGAAGCCCTCCGTGGGCCGTCGGCCTCTGCGCTGCTCGCGGCGCTGTGCTCTCGGCAGCCACTGCATCTTCTGGAGCTTACCTTATAGGGGTTTAGGGCTTTCGGGTGAAGGGGTTTAGGGTTTTGGGCTTTCGGGTTTAGGAGTTTAGGGTTTAGGGCTTTCGGGTTTAGGGGTTTAGGGTTTAGGGCTTTTCCGTATTAGGGTTTATAATAAGAACCTACAAAAAAGTAGGGTTTGGTAGTTTAAGGTAGGGCTTTCGGGTTTAGGGGTTTAGGGTTTATGGTGGAGCTTCCCCTCTTGGGTTTATAGGGTTGAGGGTTCTTGTCACAAATGATGATGTTTTCTGGAGCTTTTGTTTGAATGAGTAGGGGTTCCTTAACAGGGTTCGATTGTGGTCTTGGGGTGAGTAAGGGTTTAGGGCTTTCAGGATTTAGGATTCAAGCTTTGGGCTTGGGGTTCAGGATTTTAGCCATCTGGGGCCTTGGAAGGTTCAATTCCGAGGGTATGGGGCTTACCTACAGTCTCCATTGTAGTTCCTTTGGTTAACCAGTTTTATGTCAGGATCCCACAAAACATATTTGGTAAACCGAAAAGGGAACTACAATGGAGACTATAGGTAGGTTTCATGTTCGGTATCAAGGTCTTTAGGTTCATTCAGGATTTTAAAAGTATGCCTGAGGTATTGAGTGTTTCTTTTTTAAGCAGAGCCCGGTACAGGCACTCCTCGTAGAAGGAACCCTTACAGTCACCCAATACTTATAGCCTCCATTGTAGTTCCTTGTTGGGGTTACCTTTTAGATTCCCGATTGTACATATTTGGTTAACCCCAGACAGGAACTACAATGGAGACTATAGCTAGAGTCTCAAGCTGGAAAACCCCTAAACCCTAAACCCTAAACCCTAAACGCCTTAGCCCGCAAAGGCCCAAAGCAGAACACCTCAACTCCCATCACACCACAGGAGGGCTTGCCGGCCCCTGCGCAGGATTTTCACGAGGTGAAAATTCCTGTCTCAGGGTTTCGGGCTTACTTGGAGGTTCATGGGTAGTTATAGATGGAGTTATTTGTCCCCTAATATGGGTTATAAGTATATAGTTACCTTACATAAATCCCCACTTAAAACTACCCTAATTCCTAAACCCTATAACCCTATAGATCCCTTTAAAGGGACCCTATATACCTATAACCCTACTTACAACTCCCCACGAACCTCCAAGTAGGGAGGGCTAGATTTTCACAGGGGGTTCGGGCCCAGAGACTCCAATATCCCTTAATTAAGGAATATTCCTTAAATCATATTAAGGATCCTATTATAATTTAAGGTATATTCCTTAATAAAGGAATATACCTTAAATTATAGTAGGATCCTTAATATGATTTAAGGTATACTCCTTTATTTATTAATTAAGGGATATTGGAGTCTCTGGGGGGTTCAGGCTTTTGTCGCCCAAAGGTTCTTTTGGTGGTGGGGCTCGGGATGCGGATGGCTTTGTTTGCCACTTCGCAAAGCCTCGAGGGTGTCGGAGTTTTGGGGTTCCTTCCTCCTTAGTCTCAAAGCTCTGTCGAGCTAGGGGTGACAGCCTTACTTCGTTTGTGAAGTGAGTTTTCTGACTGACTAGTATATACACTCACCAGTATTCATACGCAGCGAAACAACCCATCTCCGTAGCACAAGCCCTCAGTCATGTAACCTTCGAAGCATGAGCTGAACTTCGACCAACATGCTGAACACTCTTGTTGGATCTGAAGCGTTGGAAAGACTCATCCTAAACGGATCCAACTTCGACCCTCAAGTGTCAAGTCCATATGTAAATCAGTTCTGAATTTGCCGCTTCAAAGCTGAATCCTGTGACATCGTCAACTGATAGGAACCAGGTACCTCAATAGCATATCCTTAGACCCTTACCCGGAAAGCTCAATCCTGTGACCCTCGACGACCTGCCCTGCTGGTGGACAGAGGCCTGCATTACCTTAAGCACGCTAGTCTAGAGAAGCTGTTGATTTATTCCGTTTGTATTTTGATAAAATAATAACTGATGCATATTCCTCGTCTTATAGATCCTGAATGCGGGGTTTTGACCATTCTGAACCCAAAGCCTGTCACCCTACTAAGCCCTAGACTCCAGACCCTGAATTCCCCAAGACCCAGTTTCGAAGTCTCAACGGAACCCTTCGAAAATCGTATGCTAGCACTGTTTTGCGCTCTGGTAGGCCGCTGCATGCCTGGCCCTGCGATATGGGGACCCGATTTAGGGTTTATAGGGTGCAGGGCAGGGTTTTATTTTTTCGGGATCAGGGTGATCCGGGTGAAGGGGTTTAGGGTTCAGGGCTCCGACGAAGTTTACGCACTATTCAGGAGAACAGGGTACCTTGGGAGTGTTTTTTTCCTGTTAGGGGTTCAGGTTTTCTGGACGAATCGGGCGTGGGGGTTTCTTGCAACTCAGACCCCTGCGTTGAAGCCCAAGAAGCATTAAACATCCGAACCATAGCACCAGCAACCGAATCCCAAAACCCTGAAGCCTAAACCCTAAAGCCCTACACCCTAAACCCCAACTCCCCAAAAGTGCCAACGCCCGAAACCCTAACGCCTTAAACCTGATCCCTGAGGTGAAACAGAACCCAAGACTACCATGAATCACAAAATCGAGACCTGAACGAACAGTCTTAACAGCCATAAAGCCAAAAGACTGACCCCCTACTATTCAGGTTTAGGGTTTTAGGGGTTTGAGGTTTAGGGTTCCCCTTACCCAATAGAGCGGCGAAGTCAAAAAAGCAGGAAATAGTGAATAGTAAAAATTTTCACTTCGGCTCATTTTAACTTTCCCTTCGAAGTTTACAAGCGCGCGTAGAAAATAGTCAAAACGCGTGGCGTCAAATTAATTTTGGGAAGTCCAAAAATTGCGGATGAAGTAAACTCGGGGCAAAGCTGCTGCAGGAAGTTTCGTGGAAGTTTCCTCTAAACTGCTTCCAAACTGCTTCACCTCGGGTGGCAGTTTCAAGGGGCCGAAATCAAAGCTTCCACTAAACTGCTCTTCAGATGTTTGCATTGTTTCCGGCAGCGAAGATGGGTACTTACATGCAAAAACAACTCAAGTGCACTTTCAAAGAGCAAAATCTCTGTAGCAGTTTCGGCCGGCCACAGAATGCAGTTTAGAAGCAGTTTCAGTAGCAGTTTCCTCTTTCCGAATTAACTTCGAAGCGAAAATATTTACTGTGAAGTAAACTCAGTTTTTACTTTGCGGGGGCGGCGTTTTAACCTTGAAGTACAAAAAATAAGTATTCACTTCGAACTTAATTCATCAAATCGCGTGTTCACTTTTTCATAGAAATATCCTTTGTTCTATAAAATAGGGGTTCCTCGTTTTTCTGACTTCGCTGGTCTATTGGGTATAACCCGAACACTACAGCCCTATACCTAAACAGCAGCGAGGACGAGCCCTACGAAGCAAAGCCCAAAACCCTAAGCTTTAACCCTAAAGCGCAAAGCATGACCTGAGGCCTCAAACCCTAATCCCTACACTTATGTGGTCCGTGCGCTATGTAAGTGCCCCAAATTCGAAATCCATTTGAGATGCTGGAAGCCCGACTATGTGAACATAAAATATGTAGCGAGAAATGTGACAATCATGTGACGGACAATACTGTACTTGTGACTGGAAGTGTAAGGTGACAAGCCAAACCAAAGCAGTTGTCCGCTTGAATGTGCTTTTGGTTTCGTGGTTTGCTTTGTTTGTCTCTGCGCAATCTTAGTCCTTGTTAACTACTTGCGTTTGGCAGGCCCATCGCAATCTCGGAGTTTCATTATTTGAGCCTGTTTATGGTTAGAACTGTTTCACCCTTAAGCTTGATCTTTAGATAGGCACGGACGCCGTGTTAGTTCAGTTGGATGCAGCAGGATGAGGCATCACACTTGTCCTCTGTTGAGGACGCCGCAGAGCTCCGCACTCAGGAGCTGGTGCCGTTCGAGGGCGACGGCTTGTGGCAAGATGCAGCCGGCAGCCCTCGGCCCAAAGCCTTGAGGGCTGTACCCTGGCGGGATTTCGTGCCGAACGCTATGTCTTCTCCATCCATGACACCGGGTGGCTGCACAGGGTGTCAACCCGACGAATTTGTAAGTTGACGGCGATGAAAGACTGGAAAATGGTGCTAGCCACCTAGTCATTGAGAGAACAGCCACCGAGACTGAGGTTCGACTTCGGGGCTTTTTGCCCAGTCCTGGGCTGACATCTAGGGCTTAGTACTCCTTTGGGTTTAGGTTCTGATCTCCTTTCGGGAAAACCCTGCCCTAAACCCGAAACCGTTACTACTTTGGGGCCTTTGGGTAAGTTGGGAAAGCAACAAAACTTTACCATACAACCCCTGAAGGATCGGCGAATACCCGGCCTCGTTCTTCCGCTCTTGCACTCTGACTGCGCGCTGCTTCCCGAGGTGTCGCAAGGGAGGTTTAGGACTCCGGAGTTCAAGATTTTGAGTTATGCCTATAGTCTCCATTGTAGTTCCTTTTTTGGTTTAACCAAATATATATATATATATATATATATATATATTATATTATATATATATATATATATATATTCGGGATCCTATCAGGTAACCCCAAAAAGGAACTACGAGGGAGACTATAGGTGGGGCTTAGGGTTTCCCCAACGCACTGAAAGAGGTAGAACAGCGTTTCAGTCTGGGGTTTTGGAAAAAAGTGATCAAGCATCCTATCGTTTGATTGGTTCTTCCCTGATTTGGAAGGGCTTGTTTGCCGAACTTTCATTATGAAACCATATTAAACACAAATAACAGCCCAGACCCAAACCGGTAAGCTCTAGACCTTAAGTATGCCTAAGAACCATGATTGAACACCTTAGCAAACGAACCGTAAAGCGCTTAAACCCTGCAAACAACCGGTAACGGTCCTACAAAGCCGTATAGAATCGTATAAAACCTTAGATAACCCTATAAATAACAGCCCTAAACCACCATAATTACCCAGAGGCTCCATAGTAGTTCCTTTTGGGGATTAACTTATAGGATTCTATATACGAACCCCAAGCCTTAATAAGGACCCCTAGGTATATAACCTTAGTATAGCCATTATATACCCTTTATATAGCCCATTATAGGGCAGGGGCCCCATTAAGGGTCCCTCCTTTTCCCCTTTGAGTCATCCCTAAACCCTCAACCCTAAACCCCCAAACCCTAAAACCTAAACCCCTAAACCTATATCATAGTACCCTTATAGATCCCTTATAGTATCCTGGGGCCTTTGGGTAACCCAGATAAACAAACAACCCCGAGCACCAGGTTTGTGAGGCAGCTGCTTCAGGGGAGTCCTGGACGCAGGACTGGTGGGAAGCGAAGGCGAAGGAGCTCTGCCGGGAACTACAAGGGTTTGTAGATTTAGGGTTTAGAAGGTTTAGGGTTTTGGGTTTAGGGTTTTGAGTGTTGGGTGTAGGGTTTGGGGTTTAGGGTTTTGGGTTTAGGGTTTTGGGTGTTGGGTTTAGGCTTTAGGCTTTAGGGTTTTGGGTTTAGGGTTTTGGGTTTAGGGTTGAGGGTTTGTATGGTATCGAGGCCTAAATAGCTACCAAGCTTGGTCAGAGTCAGAGGGTTTCCCACAATGTTTTTTTTTATAGTGCAATGTACCCCAAGAACCTATTCTCAGCATTAAGCCCCCAATATGGGGGGGGGGGGGGGTAGGGTGTGTGGCTTGGGGTTCATGGTATATTCTGCTATGGCACGATACGCGGACTATGAGGCATAACGTTATGATAGGGGGGATATACTACTCTGGAATGAAAAAAGGGACTATGCTTAAAAGGGTTTCGGGCCTTCAGGGTTTAGCAGGTTCAGGGTTTGGGGTTTCGGGTTTTGAGGCTTAGGGTTTAGGGTTTCTAACGGACTTGATGTTAAGGTTGCTGCAAGGGTTCCATTAGAGTTGCGACACGGGTTGTCATTGAGTGCATGGTCTAGGAAGCGAATGATGAAACGGTGGTGCGCTGGCGCTTCTTGAGGACAATCGCTTCAAACTCCTTGACACGATTCTTCAGAAGATGAGGCTGTGATTTTTATCCTGTGGGGACGGCCTTGCCAATGCGAGATGCGAAGGTTCGCGGGGACTGGCAGGTCGAAGCAATGATTGGCCCGTCTCCGGGTCATCCCCGGGATCCTCACGAGCGTCTCTGCAACAGGATATGCGGGGCGTTCAGGTGTCCGTGAGGCCATGCGGGACTCCAAGTTTTTGTTGTTATGCCTCCTCATGGCCCTACTGAAAGGCCCTATAGTAGTTCCTTGTTGGGATTACTTTATAGGATTCTAGATATGAGCCCTAAAAAGAACTACTATGGGGCCTATGGGTCTGTTGCCCGCGTGCCATGATGCCAGGCAGCTGATGCTGCCAAAAGCGCCCAGTGCGCAACATCATGGAGTTGAGAGTGCTCAGCATAGGTTCTACTTCAAAGGGTTGTGGGGCTACTTTACCAGAGCCGAGTTCAGATTAACGGGTTTAGGGCTCCAGGGTTCAGGGAGCTGAGTTGGGGCTTTTAGGGTTCTTTGGTCTGGGGTTCTACCGTTCGGGCTGCGGCTCTGGAGCTCCATAGGGTTCAGAGTTCAAAAGCCATTGAAAAACCGGATGCTTTAAAATAAGCCAAGCCGGATCAGATCAACTTGAGACCCACGATGATAAAACCTTAAGTTGCCCCCTTAAAGCCCCAGAGATTCGAACAGCCCTATAAAACCCTAAACCCCTATTATAAAGCCCTAAACCCTGAACCCCTATTAGAAAGCCCTAACCCCTAAACGCCTATTATAAAGCCCTAAACCCTGAACTCCTGTTAGAAAGCCCTAACCCTGAACCCCTAAACCCCTGAACTTCAAGCCCGTCCGAAAACTTTTGAGGAGGGCTTACGCTCACAAAGCTTCCTGGGACTCGAGGCGCTGGGAAGTAGCGGGTGGAGGGTTTTGGCGCTTTAGGGTTCTTTTGGGGCTTTAGGGTTCTAGTGTCCAGGGTTTGGGGTTTATGGTTCGTGGTTAGGGCTCTATGAGTTCTACCTATAGTATCCGCTGTAGTTCCTTTTTGGGGTTACCTTATCGGATCCCAAATATATATATATATATATATATGTATATATATATATATGTATATATATATATATATATATTTGGTTAAAACAAAGAAAAGGAACTACAATGGAGACTATAGGTAAGGATGAGTAGAGCTTTGAGGCTCTGCAGCGTTTAAAAGTTGAGCTTGAGGACTCTTGGGTTTGGGTTTCAGGGATCATCTAGCACTTCAGGGCTAGAAGGGAGTTTCCGAAAATAGGGGTACCATATTTTGGGGTCTTTATAACAAGGATCCCACAATTTAGGGTACCATCTTAGGGTCCCCTACGCTCGGAAACTCCCAGAAGGTTTGAGGCTTTAGAGGGCAACAACCAGGGAGGGTTTCGGCTTTTGGCGCTCCTGGGTTCTGGCTTTCAGGGGTTCAGGGGTTTCGGGGTTTGAGGTTTGGGGCTCTCTAGGGGTTTGGGGCTTTAGCACTCTCAAGTTGTTGGTTCTGGCAAGGCGAACTTAGTAAATAACCCAGCAACTAAAGCAAAACCTCAATCACCCACACCCTTCAACCCTATGGAACCCTGATAGAACTCTCCGGGGGCCTCAGATGACCCTCATATTTCTGGAACCTTCATAGGGCCGCGCAGCCCTAAACCGACCCAAACCCCTACTCAGAAATCAACCTATAACACTCGGTAACACGCCAAAGATGCCTTGTAGAATCCTACATATAGGGCTTATTGTATAAACCAAAAGCAGGAACTATACTGGAGACTATATAGGTACAATAACTGGTCAAACCCTACAGCAGCCGGGTTCTTAGCTTGACATGTCGCTGCAGGCCTTGCTGTCAGTGGGGCCTTGGAAAGATGCCAGCATGTTGGAGCGCTTGGTCCAGGCCCCCATGTAGGGGAAGCTTCTGCAGCTTCGCTTGAAGGGCGGGCCAAAAATCCTTATAACGAAATGCAAAACCACGATGTACTACTTTATCATTGTTGGGGTCTTTGGTGTTAAAGTGTTTTGGGTGTTGGGATTAGCAGCATGTCGGTTTACTTTGTACAGTTAAAGGTACCTTGAACAGTCCTGTAAGGGGGTTATAGGATTTTCGGTTTGAGGTTTTGGGGTTTATGGTTTAGGAGTTCTTGGGTTTTTTTGGTTTAGGACTTGGGGTGTTTGGGGTGTCGAAGGTTTCTTGCTTCGAGACTTGGGGCGCGGGCTTCGAGTGCAGATGTTTCTTTGGTTTGGGGTTTTGGGTTGTTGGTCCCTGCACCTTGGAGGCTTTAAATGCTAACAACGCAGGGCCTGCAGACTAATACTTCTGCCTCGCACACTTGTTTGACGAAAGTGTTACCTCGGAGCCTCAGCAGACGTAGCACACCTCACCCACCGACGGCTCAAAGATAAACAGTGCCTTAGCATATGCTCTCGATCCCTGCAGAGCCCTACTCCCTATACCCGAAGCTGTCGAAAACCGTCGCCTACATCGCAGGGATGGCTCCAGTTGCCTCTGAGCCGAAGTGACCGCTTCGGAACAGGCCCTGCAGAAGCCTGGAGCCAGGCGGCTAAAGGTTGGTTAACTTCGCTGTTCCCGGCTGAGTGGGAGTTATGAGGCTTTGAGATTGAAGTCTGAAATTTCGGCAACTAGCACCATCTGTTGCGCCCTGCAGCCCGAGAGTCGGCCTTTAACTTTTGCTGTTTTGGGGTTTTCAAGTCCTGCTTGAAGCCGACTTGAGCGGGTGACTGTTTCTTCGGAGTTCAGGGTTCATTACTTGGTGGATGCTGGTCTTTGTTCGTCGTGGGTTGCAGTCATACAGCTCCGGTTGCAGAAGCCTACGCTGCCAAATCTGCAGTTGCATTGAGAAAGCTTTCTCTTGCAACGCTGACTAACAGTCTTTCTTCGATCCCCGCGAATGCGCTGCAAGAGCATACCCCCCAACAGACACATCAATTGCATGCGCGGTGTCATGCAGGTACCCTCCCTAAATTAGAGTCCCTTTCCAGCTCCCCAAATTGGTGCGGCACCCTCACAAAAAAGGGACCCCAAAGTTTTGAAGGGGCCCCTGATTCACAAGAACTACGCATGTCTCTGTGTTTTCTCTGATTCCTCAACTCCTAACGCCTAAATCCAAAGTAGTACTGCCCCCAAGGGCCCTGTGTACTGTTATGGGGGATACTCCCCTACGTCATAATAGTAATTCCTAATATGGAAACCCTACATTCTACTATATCGGTACATAGGACCCTTTGGGTGCACAGGCGGCCGTCGTCCTGCGGAAGCTTCGCTTGGCACTCCCATCTCTTGCCTTGCGACTGGATTGCTGACGAGTTGAGTTTTTCTTAAGGGTATTATGCGGGCATTACAGGGGAATGCTAAGGGTGCTACAGGGGTTCTATAGAGGTAGTAGCAGGGCTCTACGAGAATACACTGGACTTACTCTCATTGTTGGATGAGGGCTTCTTTAGAGGTACTACTAGGGTGCCACGGGTGCCGTAACGGTTGGTACAAGGGTATTATGCGTGTTGTTTTGGATCTATGGGGGGGGTCGATGGTTCGAAAAGGGCACCACACGGGTATACGGCTTGGGGTACAAGGGTCCATAACCGATGGGGTCTGTAGTTGGCCGTCGAATTTAAATTGCATTCTGGCACTTTATGGGAAACCGCTGGTAAGGCCAAACTATATAGATATACTACATTCGGAAGAGGGTTTTGGGAACCCTGTGAGGCGTCTTTTTGGTGGTGGGCTGTCCGGGGTCTTAGTGGAAAGGTGTTTCAGAGTGCTGCGCCCTGAGACCCGCAGCTTTCAACTCTCATTCAAAACCCTAAACCCTAAACCCTAAACCCTAAACCCTAAACCCTAAACCAACCCTAAGGTTCCAAAGGGAGCCTTACAAAGGAGATAAGTTTGGGATTTAGGAGAATATCTGGGAGGATAAAGGGAGCCTTACAAAAGAGATAAGTTTGGGTTTAGGAGAATATCTAAAAAAATATGTGATACATAGGGTCAGGCCAGTGCTTAAGCCCCTGCATACACCCGGGGGTCAAGAAGTTGTGCCAGTTGAGTGGCTTTCCGGCATACGGCCGTCAGATGTGTCCGATTCTCGCATTGGGGACTTCCGATCTTGGCACTAACATCAAATTCAGAGGGCGACAAGCGTTCTAGAAGGGCGGCATTAGAAAGGTCGAGGGTTTCGGGTAGAAGGTGAGGCTTCAGCATTTCCTTGCAGCGGTCGCTGCAGCACTACCAGATCCAGCGAACTCAAGTCTGCGAGCACCAGGGTTTCTTAATATCAGGGGTCCTGCTCAGGCCGTTATGTTAAAGAACAAGCTCCTATACTCCCTTTATCTCCCTATACAGACCCCTAGATGGCCTTAGGTAAAGGGCCCTGGATTGTTGCGTCCCTTATTTGCTGCGACTCCTACATATTTCTCCGTTAGTATGTTTCTGTTTTGTTGGCGGGTCTTATGTGGGTCTACGGCATCAGTAATCATGTCTTAAATAATTGCACTCATAAGCAATCTGAACATGGAACTGCCATCGCGCACGACTCTGTAGGTAGTGCGAGACCGGACGCAGCCTGAATTTTGTGAAGATTCTACAAGCCCAAAGGGTCCTATGTACGGATATAGTAGAATGTAGGGTTTCCTTATCAGGAATTACTATTATGACTCAGGGGATAACAGTACACAGGACCCTTTGGGAAGAATCATGCGACCGTAGCTCAAGAAAAGCTGGAGCGGAATGACCTTTCCAAAGCCCTTAGTTCCCAGGCAATTGGATTTTAGTGGTCAGTTTTGGAAGTTCCCTCAACTCACCTGGTTTTTGGTTGCAAACCTTACACAAGGACCGCCGCTGAACTTCTTTGCGGGTGCTTTACGGAGGCAGTAGCTTGTCTCAAGAGCTCCATGCCGGCATTGCATTCTCGTACCTTGAACCACCAAGCCTGCTTGTTTTTAGGGGCCCCATAAATTCTTTATTGCTCTGTGCCATAGCCTTTTGTAAGACCGGCAAAAAGAAGGCTAGAGTACGTTCGAGGTGCTCGTGGTCTTGATGATGGGGACGGGGCTGGTGTTAGCGGCATTGGAGGTGGCAATGGTAACGATGAACGCTTAGGTGGCTTAGGTGAGTGCTGTTGTCAAAACAAACGTCACAACGACGGCAGCGACGGCGATCAAGTCAAAACACAAGGCGGTCAACTAAGGTTCATGCCCCATTTAGCGGCCAGATTTGACTTAATCAGCGTGCTAGCTTCGATGCTGAGTCCACAAGCTGTCTCAAAGCCTCCCAGTACCTACGGCGGCACGCGCCGAGATCTTCTATGATAGTAGCTCATTGCGAGGTGTGGCATGGTCTACTGATACCGTTCATCCTTTACGAGTGCTGCAGGAAGCAGGATTTGCGGCTTGGTCTTGGGGTGCACTGGATTCCTGCAGTGGGTCAGCTTTGTGATCTTCACGAGTTTGGCATCAACTTCAAGCCCAGCAAACCTGTTATACCCGAGGCCCTGAACCCCAAACCTACACCGTAGGCCTCAAAAGCTATAAACCCTAAACCCCAAAGACACACCCTAAACCTTATAAAACCTACAAACCCTAAACCCCAAAGCCACACCGTACACTAAAAGCCAAAAAGATGGAAACCTAATAGCCTCCATCCCTAAGAGTAATGTATAGGGAACCCCAGCACTATTTGGCCCTAATTCGGTTTCCAACTTTATGGGGTTCACTGTAAACCTTAAAACCTATAAACCCTTAACCCCAAAGCCACACGTAAAACTTAAAAGCTACACACCTTAAACCCCAAAGCTACACTGTAAACATCTGTAAACCCTGAACCAGGCATTGATGCCCAGCGCGGTGGCCCTCGAACTGTGCTGCTGCGGTCTGGAGGCGGAGCTTTGGAGTCGACGCTTTGCGTCTCCGGGCGTTTGCTTACTAGATGGGTGGTTGTCAAGATTATGGTCCCTTTTGGGGTCCTTCTTATAATACGGCACCTGATTTTTAGGGTACCGAAGAAGGGACCCTAATCTTGACAACCACCCATCTACTATATGTTAATATATGATTATGCTACAATATCTATAGAATATTGGAGTATGATGATGTATTAAATATCTTACTTGTTGGTGTTTGGGTTCACAGTTGTGGTGTTCCTGTCATGTCTGCGCTGCTTCAATATATGCGGTTCTTACAGCTTCCTTTTTTGGGGTCTGGAAGGCTCGGCTGCAGTTGTGAAAGTTTATGCTTTATTCCTGACTTCAGCCGTTTTGACAAATTGACCAGAGAGGTTTCACGATTGGGGTTTCTGCTTCTGCCCCGGCTTAGGCTCTGGCTTTGGGCATTGAGCTTGACGATGTTTAGAGGCCTAGCAGCAGCAGATGTTTATCCCCTGTATGCGGACAGAAAGTACCCGACTGACTGGCTTAAGCCATACCTATAGTCTCCATTGTAGTTCCTTTTTTTGGTTATCCAATTTTAAGGTTAGGACCCTATAATAGAGATTTTGGTTAACCAAAAAAAGGAACTACAATGGAGACTATAGGTAATTTCTGGGATCGTGGACTTCAAAAGCCCGGATAAAAGTCAAGACCCCATGGTGACAATGGCTACATCTACACACCACCCACTTTAAACTGCTTGCAGCCCTAGTTACTCAGCCCACGAATCTCTAAGTAGTCCGGGGATCCACTATTTTCGGAAACCCCCTTATGTATATCAAGGAGCTCTTGGAACTCTATTCTGAGTATAAAGGCTCCTCTCTCACATGATTTTTTGGTTCAAGTGCAATATACCCCAAGACCTACTTCTGCTTGTTAATATCCTTCTACGAAAATCCTTATAGCCGCCCGGCCCTTGCAGTAGCCTCTATATAGATTCCGTACTGATATTCTTGCAGCGCGCCGATGCTTCAGATAAGTCCTTGCTGCGGTTTGGGTTATAGCTATAGTCTACATGGTTAGGGCTGAGGATTGATAGCCTTTGGGGTGTCGGTCAGCGGTTGTGGAGTTTAGGGTGTTTGGCTGCGATGCACACTGGACAACCTGGCTGCCTCTACAAATCGGCCTCAGTGATAAAGCCCCCTGCCACGTTGATCCGCCCGCTCCGCCTATGATTCTGTTTGGAGGGTACAGGTAAAGGGAGGAATCCGAGCACCATTGTAGGAAAACCCCAACACTGAGTTGTGAGTCGTCTTTCCCTCAACCCTTAGCCCAAAGCTCGGTGAACCCTACAAGCCCCAAACCACCCTGCAAACCCCTGCACCGCTTTTAGCTCCTCTAAACGCGCTAAACTCTAAACCCTAGAGCTCAAAACCCTAAAGCCTAAACCCTCTATGCCCTAAACCTCGAACTCTAAAGCCTAAAACCCTAAACTCTAAACCCCTAAACCCCTAAACCTATAAACCCTACAGTAAATCCCTAATCAGATCTTCAAAGCTTGGAAGCCCTCGGAACCCTCTTTGGGGAGCTCTGGGTCCGGGAACTCCAAAAGCCCTCAGCCCTGAATCCTGAAGGTTCGTCTCCCTGCAGACGCCTCCGTGGGCCAACTCATTGCCTTGGCCTCGGTGGCGCCGAGGCTCGCTGCAAAAGGCCAGGCTTGCTCACAAGAGTTATACAAGCACCTACCCACAGGCTCCATAGTAGTTCCTTTTTGGGGGTTACCCTATAGGATTCTATGTATGAACCACAAATGGAACTGCTATGGAGCCTCTTCTGGTAATACATGGTAATACTGTTGAATTGAAACATGAGCCTACAACACCACCATCAAATAAGAATGATTTCGTAACCCGTTTTGTGTCGCTGCGGCGTGGTAGCTGGAGCCTTGGGGTCGTCTATACTTATAAGGATGTCAGGAGATGAGGCTTGGCGAAGTTGCTCACTCGGGTTGCATGTAGCTTTAGCCTTGTACAGCTTTGAACTTGTACGGTTGTTCTCGGCCCAAGCTCGAACCGAAACATTGCGTAGCCATCACAACAACAAACACGAAGCCTGTAGTTTGTGCTTTTGTGTGCGTGCTGTATATACCAACATACGTATATGCATGCATATACAAGATATATATATATATATATATGTGTGTGTGTCTACACATGTGCACATCTACGTAACTACATAAACAAATTGGTATCAATATATGTATATATATACACACATATGTATATGTACGTACATATACATATATATATATATATAGACACATCTTATATCAACCATTCACGACAGACGTGGCCGAAAGACCGCGACCAGCCAGAGAGGCCTCGGCTTCTCCGCCGAGAGTGCGCTGGCCGCCCTGGCGTCGCTGAGTGCAGCGCGCGCCGAGGCTTCGGCAGAGGGGCCGAGGCCTCAAAGTGAAGTTGCTGTGGGCTCGGGGTTTAGGGCTTGTAGGGTTTGCATGGGGTTTAGGGCTTCAGGTGTATAGGGTTTTGGTCGGCTGAGGGTCTAGAGTTCAGGATTTAGGGTTTGCGATTTAGGATGTGGGTTCATGGTTGAGGACTGCGCTAATACCGGTTCCATAGAGGTTACTCTACCAGTGGTCTTTCAGGGATCTAAGGTGTTCTGAAGTTAAGAGTGTATTTCTAAGAAAGAGAAAGTATCGGGCTATAGGGGTTCGAAACTTGGGAGTCTTGTGCGTGTTTGTTTTGTTGTTTCTTTTTTTCTTTCCTTTCGCAGTTTGTGGAGTTCATGTATAGTTCCGTAGAAACTTATGGCCACCGGTTAGGGCTGAGGAAAAACGAGTTTTCGAGTCTAGGATTTGAACGGCTTTCAGGGTTTATGGCATCTGGGGCTTGGAGGCTAAAGATCAGCATGAGAGGCCAAAGGTTGTTTACATCGACTGGCTCTGTGGTGAACACTGACAAGTCCGGCAGGTTTGTGGTCTGGATAGAGTCAACGATATGGAATTCAAGAGTGAATTTAAGGCTTGGAGGCTGGACATATGTTTGAGCAAGCCATGGCACACTGCACGTTCTGCCCACGAACAGCGCCAATGCCAGCCCCAATGCCTTGCTCCCAAGCCCCAAAGCCCCAAAGCCCAACACCTAGATCTTGATCCATCATCTTTGAAAGCAGCCTCGGACGCACGCCCAAATTCCCAAACTCTTACATCTAGGACGTAAGCTCAAGATGTTTTTGTGTTCGCTGTGCAGATGGAGCCGCGGGGTGTTCTTGTGCTTAAGATCTCTTCAACATAAGGAGAGACAGGAGGAGATTCGCGGTGTATTCATGATGCAGGGGCATTGAGTTTAAGGTTTAGGCTTCATGGACTCGTCTCAGTGTTTCACGAGCTGTGGTGGTGGGCGCGGGGACAACTGACGGATGCCCCGAAACATCCTGAACCCTAAACACGACACCCTAATTAATCTGAACCCGCAAAAGCGTGATCTTGTGAAGAAGTCTAAACCCCAAACCACACTCAAAGCCCCCAAACCCTAAACCCTAATTCAACCCTCAACCACAACTAAACCCTGAGCATCAAGGTTCGAGCTCTGGCTGGACGACATCGGGCCCGCTGGGCGGCGTTTTCGAGGGACGCTATTGTATAGGGGCCTGAATATTGAGAATAGGGTCTTGGGCCATATTGCGTCATATTCACAGTTACATATGTGCAAAGGGACTACAGGAGAACACTAAAAAAACCTCACGTTTAGAGCCGCTGGGACCCGAAACCTGAATCGCAAGCCATGAAGATCTTGCAACCTCCGAGAGGTGTGGCTTCGTCGCTTGGTCAGATGCTCGCGCTGCCTGCTTTGCCGACCCATTCCTGGTGGCGTCTTATCCTCGCCAGGACAGCCGAGAGTGGGAGGGTTTAGGCTTTCGATATCACTAATTCTCTTTGTACACCCAGAGGGTCCAAGTACTCCCGATTATAGGTCTTTAGGGCCTTTTTAGGTACCAAAAACCATAAAGAGGAACTGCTTGGACCCTTAGGGACAGGATCCCGTTTTTGGTCCCCGAAACTGTTTTTACGGCACATTGCGGTACCCGAGTGAGACGGCCCGTAAAGGAGACCCTACTTTAGAGAACTACCCATGTGGAGGGTTTTGGGGCGTTGGGTTTCGGGTTTTTAAGGTTTCGAGTGCCTTGGGCAGTGGGATGAGGATGGAGGACATTTATTGGGGCGAATGACCACCCTTGTCCTTTATCGCGCCAAAGCTATGGTGCAGCCGGCAAACCCGAGCTAGGTCTTTGTCGTGCGGCTTTGGTAAATCTTTCGCAGACGTCAGGCTTGTGGGTTTGGGCTGCGGCGATTCTCGAAACAAGACAACCTCCGACCCCTACGAAAGAAGCATTAACCCGAAACTCTCAACCGTGGGCCATACCTATGCCCCGCAAATGCAAGCCCTCAATTTTTGACTGGAAACTGCGGGTGCGGGACGGGACTGTTTTGCTTGGGCTCGGACCTAGATGTTCTAACGTAATGCAGGTTTGGGCGTTTAGGATTCGCATGTTGCCATGCTACAGCTTCGGGTGTCAGTGTAGGTTTGCACGGCAAGAAGCCTGGCAGAACGCCGTTATAAGGCCGAAACACTAACCCCTAAACCCCCAAAGCCTGAATGCTAGAGCCCCAGCCTGTTGAACCGTAGGCTCCCCTGAGCCGACTTGGAGGGGCAGGGGACTTAGTAAGTAGGTTATAAGTAGAGTTATAAGTACCCTAAATGGAGTTACCCCCGAAATAACCCTACATATAACCTACTTGCTAAGTCCCCTGCCCCTTGAGCCGTAGGGGCTCCTGGCAGACTCCTGCCTTTACCAGCAAGGGCCTCGAGGTTTTTGGATCTCGAGTGTTGTACGGAGTTAGGGGTTAGGGTTTGGGGTTTAGTGTTTAGGTGTTGCGTGGAGGCCCGAACAAGTGACACAGGAAAGAGTAAAAGATTGAGCATCATACGAGAAGAAGGATGGCAAGCCCTATGCCTCCAGGACCTTATTATGGGGTCCTTAAGGGGTCTAGGACCCTAGCTATGAGGTCCTTGGAGGGATAGGGCAGGTAAGTTTGTCCCTGTTTGTTCAAGCGCCAGATTGAGACGTACCTCTCGCATGAAGAGCTTCGAAACTCTACAACTATTCCACTCAACAGTATGACATTCTTGGAACCATACAGAAATCGGAAGGCCCCCAAAGCCAACAGGATCTATGAAAAAAGGACCCTATAATGGTACCCTATAATAGTGCGTTTATATGCCCCCTAAACCCTAAAACCCCCAAACCCCTAAACATATAAACCCTAAATCCCTCATCAGATCTTCAAAGCTTGGAAGCCCTCGGAACCCTTTTTGAGGGAGCTCTGGGTCCGGGTATCAAAATAGCCCAAAAGTCTGGTGTAGTATGGTCTTCGGGCCCAAGAGCCTTAATATTCGAGTCCTACCCTAAACCCTCAACCCTAGCCATGAGGGTTGAAGTACTCCCTATTAAAGGTCTTTAGGGTTCTTTTCGGTTTAGGGTTTAGGGTTCAGGGGTTTAGGGTTTAGGGTTACCAAAGACCATAAATAGGAACTACTTGGACCCTTAGGGTAGGCTGGGTGGGAAGCAGGACCCTGAGTACCAGCAGGGAGACCTACGTCGGCGCTTCGTGTCACTGGGACCCATGGCCCCTCGGTTCAGGGTTTAAGCAACGATTTGCCAAAGGGTTTCGGAAGCCAGTGCCAGAATTTGGGCAGAGTGTCATGGTTTAGGGTTTGGCGATGTTTGGCGCTTATCTCTAAGGGTCCATGTACCCAGATGATTTCTCTAATAGTTTGCACAAAAAAGACTTCAATCTTCGATGAATAGATGAATATATCTATGAGAGGTTATAAAAAATTGAAACGTAGAAAATTAAATAGAATGAACATTTATTATATGATCGTTGAATCTGAAATATTTTATCTGAACTGGTTAGTTGTTGATGTGTATCTGAGAATAGATTTTAAACATAAAATCTATTATAGGATCATTTTATCGTCTATAAAATACACTGATTTTGTATTTGTATTTCTAGATTTGCTATAATCTAGTATCAATGATCCTTTTTATCTTTGGGAAGATAATACTATTCTAACAATTCATGATGTTTGGATCTTTTGATGTATCTTGAATCGAAAGTACCTTTGGGTAATATTAGTCTAGTTCAAACATTTAAATATTTTGAGGATATAAATTGAGTTATTCTATTTGGATTTATATTGAGGTCATGTTTAATGATTTTTTTCTCAAATTTTCCTAAAGTCAGATCTTTCTTGAATTTTACTTTGTCCCCAATGTACCTGTATAGGACTACTTTAAGGCCAAAGTATATACTATTTAGGTACATGGTATACTATTTAGGTACATGGCCCCTTAGGGTAACTTATATTCCAAGGTTAGGGTTTGGAGTTTTAGGTTCAGGGTTTAGGGCTTTGGATTCAGGTTGCAGGGCCTAGAGTTTAGAGTTCAGGGTACATGGTTTAGGGTCCAGTTTCCAGGTCTAAGGTGTTGGGGTTTTTGACAAGCTGGAAATTTTGCGAGGCTGCCTCACATGCTACGGCGGATGAGCTGGCAGACATGATGGAGGTGCCCAGCAGGGTTTGGGAATGATGAGTTCGCATGGCTAGCATTGTCGCTAGTATATCTATCTCTAATCATAGTAGTCGTCGTCGCCGTGGTGGTGGTGCTGGTGGTATTGCTGGTAGTGGCAGCAGCAGCGAAGCCCTCGACCCCTAAACCCCACACCCGATAATCTCTAAACCGGTTCTCTCTATACCCTTATGGAATTCCTGATTATCCTAGTAGTCGAGTAGGTAACCTTTAACCTGCTTTGGGTAGTATAGTCCCTATATAATCCCTATATAACCAAAAAGGTTAACCTTTAGTTCCCCATGATACCCGACACCCTAAACCGTAAACCCTGATTATCATAGGAACCACCGAAATTACCCCAATTATAACCCTACTTATAACCTACTTATTAAGTCCCCTGCCCCTCCAAGTAGACCCTAAACCCCAAACCCCATAGATCCCTTTAAGGAACCCTATAGAAACCCAAGTCCTGAGGTGCCAAAGCTCAGCTCGGCCGAGAAGCAGGCTCTGCTCCACGCAGCCAAGAGCTCGGCGCGCTCCGCGAAGGCCAGGGTCTCAGCGAGGTTTCAGAGATGGGAGTTTCCGAACATTAGGGGTGCCTTCTATAAGGGTTCTATAAAAGGTTTAGGATTATTGGGGGGGTTCTATAAGTCTATAAGGGTTCTATAAAAGGTTTAAGGTTTAGGATTATTGGGGGGTCTCCGAAAAAACAACTCTAAACCCTAACCCTGGACCCTAAGTTAGGTGCCAAACCCTACCAGAAAGTCTTCATTGTAGTTCCTTTTGGGGGTTACCCTATAAGATCCTTATTATACACATATATATATATATATGTATATATAAAGAGGTCTCCGAAAAAAAGGGGACCCTAACATAGTACCTTAAAATAGTAGGACCCTTATGACACGGACCGCAAAACAAGGTACCCCTAATATTCGGAAACTCCCATATATAGGGTTGGCAACTCAGATCTAGCCATTTAGGGTTGTGGCGGTTCAGGGTTTAGCGCTTTGGGGGTGTAGGGTTTAGGGTTTAGGGTAGAGTCTAGGCGGGCTGGGGCTTCCAGTTGACGGTGTCGAGTTTAGGGTCGAGTCTAGGCTGTAGCTTGTCGGGTATAGGCTTCAGTTTAGGGTTTCGATTTCACCGGGGTCCTTTGAGAGCCTTCTTTCGCGTGAGATCGGCTTAAGGGTTTACTGTGTATTCGAAGGATTGGGGTTTTCAACTTGGGTTCTGCGATGACAGATGTTCTTTTGAGGCTTCGCAAGGGCTCCGGAATCTTTTCACGGCGAAGTGTTGAGCTGGTCCCCACCCGTTAAGAGTAACACCAAAGGATGGTGATGGTAGCTACGTGTGGGTCCCTTCATACTTCAATGAGGCCCAGGCAAAGTGTTTCGGGGTCGGAGCCAGAAGGATTCATGAAGGTGCTCTTTTGGGGTTTTATAGCCCTACTTACTAAACACTATTGGGGTTTTAGAAGGGTTCACAAAATGGTCTATAGTAGCTTTATCAGGCCTTCTTCCATGGTTTTGACTGCAGGTCAGCGGTTGCTAGGGCTTACAGTAATGTAGGGGGTCGGATTAGTTAGTCGTAGTATACTCTTATAGAAGAATTGTAATCAAAGTGTAAGATACCCCCCCTTTCCAAACCAAACCAATTATTGAGGCCCCAAATTAGGCCAGAGGTTCCACGGAACCTATAGTTACTGGGTGGTGGATTCTAGGATTCGGGCTTGGTTTTCCAGGATTCGGTGGCTTGATTGGGTCCTGTTGGTTTGTTTTTTTTGAAGTTGGAGTTGGCTGTCTCAGGTGGCTTAGGGTTTGCACAAACATGGCACGGCATGACCCCCTTAATACAGTTTGGGTAGCCTTGGTTTGCCGTCTTTTTGTGCTCACCTGAGTCGGCAAGGTCCTCAATGCCGTGCGTGGCTGGATAGCTGATCCAGGCTGGACAGTAGCTACGGTGACCTAGATGGGTTCAGAGGATTTCATTCTAAGTGGCCATGAGGGCACCCAGAGGATAGTCGTCTATGCGTGGCTTAGGCAGGCTGTGGGGTTGAGAAGCTACTGCGGATCCTATGCGCAGGTCATGCAGCTTGTCAAGAGATTTGGGGACCAATCACACCATGTTCCTGCTACTCAGTCGAAGACACACCCCCCACACTCCCTAAAGTCATTTCTCTGACTTCCGAGCCCATGAAACCCTGGAGGCATGCTGCATCTGAATCCCTGAAAGTGCTAGTTACTACACATAGGCCCCGTAGTAGTTCCTTCTTGGGGGTCATTTTAGAACCCTATAATATGGTAATGTGGGAACCTGATTAAGAAACCTTGGGCCTTTATTAGAGTTCCTCATATTAATATGAATCCTACTATCCTGGGGTCATAGCCCCAGGATATCTTAATCCGGTTCCTACACTAATCCCAATAAGGCATTACTATGGGGCCTATGGGTATGCCTAGTGCTCAACCCTGGCTTGAGCACCAGACCCAGGACCCCAAACCCTCTTCCCTACACCACCTACCAGCACAACCCTAAGGGCCCATGTGCCCAAACAGTGTTCCTTTAAGGGTTCTAGAAGGGTATCATAAGGGTTTAGGGTTTAGGGTATAAGGGTCCCTGTACCCAGATAGCAGAACTTTGGCCCCAATGTACCTATGTAGGGACTACTTTAAGACCAAAGTATATACTATTTAGGAACATGGACCCCTAAAACCCTTAAAGGAACCCCTTGAAGGAATCCTTAAATGAGACCTGTTGAGGTACATGGACCCTTAGGGCAAGCGATGATGTTGCACCCTAAAGCCCTGATGATGGCTGCGGCTGGATCAGGCGGAAGTGATCCTCCCGACCCCCAGGAAACCCACTCCCAAGCCTTAGGGTTTCGGGCCCCTAAACCCTAAACCCTCTTCCGCTGCCGAAGAAGAATAATATAGGCCCCGGCCTAAACAAACAAGCTATACGATTTCGGGGTTTCCTGATTATCGTTAGTTAGAGTATAATGGCAGTATTGGGGAGACCCCTTAAAGCCTCAAAGGAGACCCTTCTTAACCCTCCGTCTGGCTCTTTTAAAAAGAGGACACTGGGCCCAAAACCTTCAAACGCCCGAAAGCTGGAGGCGCTTATGGTTTGCCCATTTGAGGGTACATGGACTCTTTTAGAGCCTTTATGGATCCCTAGACCCTCTAACCCTTAAAGGAACCGTTCAAGGAACCCTTAAAGTAACCGTTGAAGGAACCCTTCAAGGAACCCTTAAAGGAACCCTTAAAGGAACCCGAACCCTTCAAGGAACCCTTAAAGTAACCCTCAAAGTAACCGTTGAAGGAACCCTTCAAGGAACCCTTGAAGGAACCCTTAAAGGAACCCTTAAAGTAACCCTTAAAGTAACCGTTGAAGGAACCCTTCAAGGATCCCGTAAAGTAACCCCTACCGTAACCGTTGAAGGAACCCTTCAAGGAAGCCTTGAAGCAACCCCAATAATAACCCCCAAAGGCTCTGACCGGCACGTGGTGTCGGCTCGCCGGCAGCACGGGCACTTGGTTCCTGAAGGTTTGGGCTTTGGAGTTTTGGGGTTTAGTGTTTAGTGGAGTGGAGCTTAGGGTTTAGTGGAGTTTAGGGGTTTGGTGGTTTGGGTTGAGGGTTGTTTAGGAGTTAGGTTTGGGGGGGTGGCGGGGGGGGGGGGGGGGGGGAAGGTTCAGAGTTTGGCGATTTGGGGTTTGGTTTGGCGTTTCGTTGACTTGGGGACCCCTAAACCCTAATCCCTTAACCCTCAAACCTTGATTTAGGGAGGTTTTTGCCCGCAAACACTCCAGGCTGCAGCATCACTCCTCGCTGATGTCGGGAGTAGGACAGGGCCCCAGCTCCGTGAAAGGAGAGTCCAGGCCATGAGTCGTGGCACGGCTTAGGGTTTAGGGTTCGAATGTTAGGATGTGGAATTCAGGTTTTAGTCTATTGGTCTCGGGATTTAAGCTTGAGGCTTGAAATGCTAAAGAGGCGAGTGCTTAAGTTTTTAAACGGTTACCCCGATGGCCAACAATGCTTTTGTACCGAAGTTTCAGCCGACACAGCTTGTCGAGTTTGTCGATCAACCCTAAAATCCCTAAAACCCCAAGCCCTGAACTGTTGCCCCCTGAAGCCCCAACCTCAACATACCTAAGCCCTAACACCCTAAAGTCCTAAGATATCTAGCCCGAAAGCCCTGAAGACTAAACTCCCAAAGGCCTGAACCCTGCAGCCCATCTTGCCTGAAGGTCCATGTCCCAAATGGTGTATACTTCGGCCCCTACGTACATTGAAGGCCAAAATAAATACCATGTGGGCGCGTGGACCCCTTACAGGGTTAGGATCCAGCTGGTAGCCTGCGCAAGTTCCAAGAGGCATTGAGTGCTCTCTCCAACGATCGGGCTAGGGGTTGGGAGGACGCACTGTAAACCGTGGAGAGCCCACGATGTACACATATGTATACTGCCTATATACGTACTGTAGGTGATTAGTCAAGACAGTTACATATATATATATAAATACATATATATATATATATAATTACATACACATACATACTTATATATATATATATATATATATATATATAGATAATATGGAAAAGGAACTGTATTAGTTGTGCTCATGTTTTTGTTTATGCTCATGGTACTAAGTAGAAGAAATATCCATGCGCACACACACACACACACATCTATCGGTCTTTATCTATCTATCGATCGATCTACCTATTTATCCATCTTTCTGCGTGTCAGTATGTCTGTCTGTCTTCCTGTCTCTCAGTCAGTCTACCTGGCTGTTTGTCTGTCTGTCTGTCTGTCTGTCTGTCTGTCTGTCTGTCTGTCTGCCTGTCTCTTTGTTTGTTTCTATCCAAGAGCCTATCTCCCCGTCGATCTTGGTATCTATCTAACCTAACAAACTGTAATGGAATTTACTAAACCTTTTTTAGCCGAACCCAACATAACCTGACCTAACCTTATCTAATATATCTTATATCTAGTCTAATCTCATTCAGTCTAGCCAAGTCCAACCGATCTACCTATCTGTCTACCTGTCGATCTCTGCATCTTTCTATCTATCTCTCTATCTCTCTGAAGCCTTTTTCCAACGAAGGGACGCGGCCGGCATTAATCGGAGGTCAACGTTAGCATCCCAAAAAGCCAAGTGTTGTCATTATCCTGTTTCGGAATGAAACGCAGAACCGCATAATTACACGACCCCATGCCCCAATCAATCCCAAAGGCCCCATAGTAGTTCCTTCTTGGGTGTTCATACATAGAATCCTATAAGGTAACCCCAAAAAGGAACTAATTACTCTGGGGCCTATGGGTAGTTATACCTAGTTGTGGCCCATGCCGCCTTAGAAGGGGCCCCACCCTGTAACAGTGACTATAAGGAAGAAAAAAGGGCCCTGTTATATGCCTATTATACCACTATTACAGGGTGGGGACCCTCCAGCCCATGCACCAATCGCTAAGGCCCCAAGACTTCTTGGATCTTTTTCCTCGTCTCAAGGCACGGCCTTTCGCAAGAGTCTTAGTCTACCCTTAGGCTCCATAGTAGTTCCTTCTTGGGGTTCATATTTAGAACCCTATTAGGTAATCCCAAAAAGGAAGTACTATGCGGCCTATGGGTAGTAGGGAAGTTTCGGTCCCAGCCTCGTGTCCTATAAGGTGTATGAAGGGGGTTTAGGGGCTTAGGGTTCAGGGGTTTAGGGTGTAGGGTTTCGACTCACGCACTCGCTCAAGAGCTGGCATGGCTTCAGGCCATAGGTCTGGCTGGTTTAGGGTTCAGGGGTATGGGTTGTTATGAGGGTTCTTTAAGACTTTCTTGAAGGGGTTCTACAAGGGTATCGGGCTTACAGTTCAGAGCTTGGGGCACTGAGGGTTCGAGACTCAAGGGCTCTTGAGATTAGGGGCCCCTACCTCTTTGAGGTCTCCGTATTATGAACATCCCGCCTCTGGTAAGAGCCATCGTTTCCCTTCCGGCATGAGATCCCCGAAGCCCCAGAGCTCTAAAGTCGCGGGCTTGTCGGGCTTGTCCCAAACTCTCAACCTCCGGCCTAAACACTAAACACAAACCCCAAAACCCTAAATCTGGGAATCCCCTGATGCAGCAGTCCTGGCTGCCTCAGCCAGCGTGGTCTTCCAACCTCAGCGGACGGAAAAGGGGCGATAAGAAAAAACAAAAACTGGTTCTGCGGTGTTTGGCGGAAGTATGCGCGCGAGTTGTGCCAACATCAACATTTATTGGGCTCATGTATATATACATATACATACATACATACATATATATATATATATATATATATCTGTGTGTGTGTGTGTGTGTGTATGTGACTGAATGGAGCAAGGGCGGTGAGTCGCAACAGAAGGGCACCAAACCCGAGCTCTCCAGCGGGCGTGCCGGCCAAGCATCGCGACCGTCAGTTCGAAACCTACCTATAGTCTCGATCCTTTGTAGTTCCTTTTTTTTGATGTAATCAAGTATATATTTGGGATCCTATAAGGTAACCCCAAAAAGGAACTACAATGGAGACTATAGGTAAACCCCAAACCTTTTACAAACCCTAATAAACCCTAATGAATACTTATAAACTTCATGAACCCCAATAAACCGTGGCGCTCAGGTCCATGCCGTTAAGCCCCATAGTAGTTCCTTTTTGGGGTTCATGTTTAGAATCCGAGAAGGTGATCGCAAAAAGGAACTATTATGGGGCCTATGGCAAACTTCCCGACCTTGCGGACTAACTGACCCTAAGAAGTAGCGACCCTTTGCCCTTATACCATGAACCCCTGCATGCTTTTACGGTACGTCTCGTCCTTAAGGGAAGCCTCTCAACCGAAAAGGCTAACCAACTTCATTCCGAGCACTCATGAGGATTATGCCCCATGGCTCCATAGACCTTGCAGTCCGTAAATACCCGGACGGGTAACTATATCTGTCGCTTTTGCATCTTCTTTCAACTGCAGTAGTTGAAGTAGGCAGGTTGAGAAGGCCCTGCTACATTCGTGATTATTTCCCCACTGTTGATTAGGGTTCAGAGTACCAAGTAACTACGCCCTATCATGGCTCATAGATTGTACTACAATAATTTCCCCCCGAACCCTATTCTTAGCTATTGAGGCTCGCATAGTAGGCCGCGCAAAACCCTCAACCTCGCACTCTAAACTCGTAAACCCTATAAATACTAAACCTCAAACTCAAAACTCCGAACCTTAAATCGTAAACCCCGGTTAAACCTTGATCCCGAAACCCTAAACCGAGTTCAGGATTGCAGCCCTGAGCTCCTCAAGCCCCAGTCTATGTTTGGAATCGGGGAGGGTGGGGCTTAAAGATGCGACACTCTGCAAAATTGAACTGGGAGCTACAGATACCGAAACCTAAAGGGAAACCTAAAAACCCTATGCCCTGAATCTGAAAACAAAAACCTCAGACAACGGCCAAGCTCCAATTATAGGCCTTCGACACCCCAGACTCCAAAGCCCTAAAGTTTGCTGCGTCAACATTCTACAGCCCACGCAAGCCCCCAGATCCTAAACGGTCTGACCCCGAAAAGCACACCTCACAACGACCCCTAGGTATGGCACCCCCCCAAACCCCGGAGCAAACTCTAAGGGACCTTAAACCCTAAACCCTGAGCCCTAAACCATAAACCAAACCCTAAACCAGACCCTAAGCGTTCCCTTAAACCCTATACACCCTAAACCCTATAAACATAAACCCCGAACCAAGCCCTGAGCGTTCCTAAACCGTACACCCTTCACCAACCCCTATGTGTTGCTACACCCTAAACCAAACCCTAGCCCATACCCCCAAAATTGAAAACCCACAGGCCGCCAAAGCTCTGACCTCCGCCGCCGGCATCCTCGATGCTGGCGTTCCAAGCGAGGCGAGGCATTAGGGTTGAGGGTTTAGGGTTTCGGGTTGAGGGTTTGGGGGGTGTAGGGCTTATATAGTTAGGGCTTACAGGGATTAAGGTTTAGGGTTTAGTTTGGGTTTACAGGGTTTTCGGGTTCAGGTTGCAGGACTTTGGGGCCAAAGTATAAGCTATTGGGGTACATGGCCCCTTGTGGCTCCAAGTATCTATCGAACAGTTTGCTAAACTACGCTTACATGGGGGAAGTAGCTTACTATGTCATTGTTTGGGCCTTTGGGTTATGGGGTCGAAGGTCTTGTGCAGGATCGAAGCTAGATGCCCGAAGCAGACGTTCCGCCCGTCCTGACGATGCCCTGCAACATGGAGTTCTTGAACCATGGTGCTGTGTAGATTTCCAGAAAGGGTACTGGGATTGTAATAGATGGTTCTATAAAAGGTACTAAGGCTTTGTGAGCAAACCTGCATGAATCCTGCAGCGATGTACGACACGGAGCTGAGGTTTCCTTGGTCAGCGCTCGCGTAAAGAAATGATGAACCCATGTAAATCTGCCAAACCTGTGCTTCAGTGCTTCAGGGTGACACACAGAGACCATCTGCAGAGTGCAGGCCTGAAATCGGAGCATAGAGAGTCCTCAACCTTTGCCAGGGTCTGAGCTTCGTGGGATCTTTTTGCATCCCCGAGCACCGGAGCGCGGACAACTTCGACTGCGTTGCCGGGGTCAGGTTTTGACTACAGGGCTTAGAGAGTTTAAAACTTTAACCCCTGAAGCCCTTCACCAAAAACCTTGGGCCCAAATCCCCGAACCTCTAATTAAGCCTTAATTAAATCCTAAAGTGAGGCTCTGCAGCCCAAACTCCAAAATCCCTAAACCCTAAACTCTCTAAACACAAATCATGAAGGCTCTGGGACTCGTCTTGGGGTCATCGAGCCTCTGCACTGCATTGGCGCAGCGCCGGCTGGCATCGGGCGAAGCGCGAAGCTCGCCAAAGATGAGAGATCGAAAGGTAGTTTCACGGCTGTACTGGGGGCTTCAATAATTACCCACACGATTTTGGTGGTTGCCTATTATGAGTATAGTTATAATATACCCCAAAATTGGGCCCCCAAACCCTACTCTAATGATTACTAAGGCCCCTATAGTAGGGCTTCACGTGTCTATTGCAACTTCTATCACAAGCCGTTTTCGGACACCTAGCAGCAAAAGCGACCCACAAAAACACACACAGACACAAGGCACCGCAAAGATTCTACCAAAGCTCATGAAGCCTTGCTGTGAGAAGCAGTCCATTCAGAGACGGATTACAGCAAGTTTGTGCTCCACGTGGAAGCCTTTGTTATACAGTGCTCCCTATAACCTGCTAAATCCTAAGCCCCGAGACGACTAAATACTAAGCCCTGACTTCCAATCGTTCTTAAACCTCCTTTTTAACATTCTACAGAACTCTCACAGTACCCGAATGGGAAGCCTTCATGTAAACCTTCCTTGAAAGCAACCAACAGTAACCCTTATGGACCCCTTTAAAGGACCCCTTCGGCCCAAGGTTTCTCCTACATTGTGATATTAGCCTTACAGATCCCTTATAGTAAAAGGACCCCCTAGGCCGAAGGTTTCCTTCATCAGGTTCCTACATTAGTAACGGTTCTCCATAAGCTCAGGGGATGCCACGCTGCTCGCGCTGTTGGCTGTAAAGGCCAGTGCGAGAGACTCCAAACACCTTGCGGCTGCTTGGCAGCTGTTTGCTTTAGAAGCTTGAATATGTAACTACATTCTTCCGAAGCTTAAGTAGGCTTCCTTAGTTCCCGAGGAAGGAGAGGTGAAGTTTGGAATGTTTGTGCGTAGTGTTGGACTGCTTGCTTTGGGTTGTGGGGGTTTGGGCTAGTCTAAACAAGCCCATACAGCCCACCCAACCATGGTCGGGATCTCTATTTTCGGCTGCAGGGGTAGAAGATTTGTGGTGCAGGTTAGGGCTTAACGAGGGCTCGCGATTTGCTAAGGGTTCAAACTCGTCTTACACCTCTGCTGTCGCAACGAGGACGACCATCCAGCCCTGCAGATTTGCCGGGCGCGGAGCATGCTGTCGCAGAAGGATCTCAGCCGCCTCAGACACCCCTGCAGCTCTTGCGATGCCCGCTAGGAGGAACTCTGAACTCTGCAAGTATGCGCCACCGAGCCCTAAACCGAACAAATGATTTGTTGCGCCGGTTTGGAAACCGCAAACCCCAACACCGAAACTTAAAAATTGCACTTCGTGCCGATGATCTGCTCCCATGTTTTTCGTTCTATTGTTGCATTCCTGTGATGGGGCGCGTAATTGCGTTAGAGTTGACGGTTTGGGGCTTACCGGCTAAAGGGTTTCAGGGTCTTTGGGCTTAGAGGGTAAGGCTGAAGCCTCAGTGGCCGATGACTCCGAGTATAAGTATTGCGAGCTCTGTTGAATGATATTTCGATACTTCAACCACCCCTACACCGTCAAAAAACACACACAACAAGAAGCACATGCTTGGATACCACCATAGCATTGCGGTGCATACTTTGCGCCCCGATTCCTTCAAGCTAACTCACTCCTAAAACCAAACGCATAACAACACTTTGAGACCTGACATTCGATACTAAACACCTTCAACAGACAGAAGGTGACAACAACATAAACAGCAAGTTATGAATCGCAGCATCAAAATAAAGCTCAAAGCCGAAACTTGAAATCAGCCCTACACACTTCAAAGCCATTGACCCTAAGCCCTTAAACAGAAGCATGGCAACCTATGGGCTTCAGGCTACCCTAAATCCTGCAAGCTCGGCGCGAACCTGCCTAATCTGTGCCGCAAAGCACCGGCAGGATCGGATGGATTTGGTGCGAAACCTGCTGTCCCTTCGAGGCTTGCTGACCCCTTTGCCGGGTAGGAGGGGGGCCCATCTTGTTGAGAACAGACCCTACAGGAGAAGTAATGTAGGGCTTACGAGTTCTCGGACGAAATCGACACACCCTTGAAATCATGAGCCCTGGACTCTGCACACCAACCGCGAGCGTCCGATCTGCATAGGCCATTGATCAGTTTTTTTTTTTTTTTTTACGGGTGTTTGCACGGGCTCGATCTGCTCCTAACGTATCTACACGAATAAAAGGTGTTTGAGTTGAGGGTAGTAGTATTTTTGTTCTTTGCAGCGGTCAGCTTTCTGGCAGCATGACGTTTTCAGGTACCTCGACCCAGTCGGGTTGTGCTGGAAATCCCTGAAAACCCCCACTCTACTCTACGACTCAAAATGGCCCCAGAGCCCGTTACAGAGCCCGAAAGCCGTTTGCAATGAGCTTTGGTCTTTAAGCCACATGAAAGAATTCGGGTTAATGGTGTAGTCTTTCGCAGTGCAGAGAGTGATGTAAATATCGAACTTGCATAGGGTTTTGGCTCCCTGATTTGTGACGGAAAGTTTTGCCCTACAGATTCCTAGGACGCTAAACCCTGAGACTCTTATCGCAGCCCTTAAGCAAACCCTATAAGACCCTAGACCAACGCTCATAGGAGCGTTTAAAGGACTTAGTGGTTCAAAGCCGCATGTTGTAATTGTTTGGCCTTTTGTTAGGTAGTCTTAAACTGACCGTTTGAACTTCTTACCCCATGGCTATTTTGGAAAACCCCAAACCCTATACTGCCGTAAACCAGAAAAGCTCAGAAGGAGCCTTTAAAGAAACCCTGTAAGGCCGTAAGACCTCGAAAGCTCATAGGAGCTCTGAAGGGAACCCTGTACAGCAAGGCCTGAAGCGCTAAAACGCTCCTAGGAGCCCTTAAAGGAACCCTCAAATCCTTAAGAGCTCATAAGAAACCTTTACCTGGACCCCAAGAGTATGTAGAATAATAGCCTTTTGGAGGAGTTGGGCCATTATTTTACCTGCTTTTGGGGGGTTCAGGTAAAAGAAGAAGCCAAAGACCAACCCCCACAGAGGCTCCTTGAGCACCGAGGGCTCGCCACATGGCGACGGCCATGGCCAAAACCTGAGGCCATGTTCAACCTTCGGATTCCTAGAAGGGTGACTTAAAAGGTTCCTACAAGGGTTTCTAGGGCTTTGGGGGTTGGAGTTGGTGGTTTAGGGCTTCGTTTATCATCGTAAGGGCTTCGAACTCTGTTGGGTCCTAAAGGGGTTCTGTAAGGATTTTTCGGCTTTGGGTTCAGGGTCTGATTAGGTCAATTTGTATGGGGATGTAGCTTTCCTATAGGGACTACCAGACTGGCTGACATCAATCTCTACATTAATTAGGAGTGTTCAGGGGTGCCTGGGTTCCGCGTTGAGAATTTCAGGGGTTTGGGGTTTAGGGTTGAGGAGTTCAGGTGTCAAGGCTTTGGGGCTTCAGGTTTGAGGATATGGGCTGAGAGGTCTAGGGTATGGTTCAGCGTGTAGGGTTGAGCCGGGTGAATATCAGGGTCTGAAGAATTACTGCTGGTTTTCTCTGATCGTTTCTACGCGCTTATAGTACGAACAGTACAATCTTCCCAATGACCTATTCTAATAATGAGGGCCCTTCTATTAGGCTCCTGGTTGTCTGTATTTCGGTTCAACTAAACCCTAAACCCTAATCCCTGCAGGCTTTGGCTATGCCTTGGGGAGTTGATGTCAGCGGAAGATGCCGAAGTCATCGCCGCGGAGGCAGCGTGCACAGTTGGGCTGAGACCGTGGGCTTCTCGCCCAGTGGTGGTGATGGTGGTGCTGGTGCTGGTGACGGTGACGGTGATGGTGGTGGTGGTGGTGGTGGTGGTGGTGGTGGTGGTGGTGGTGGTGGTGGTGGTGGTGGTGGTGGTGGTGGTGGTGGTGGTGGTGGTGGTGGTGGTGGTGGTGGTGGTGGTGGTGGTGGTCTTCGTGATGTTGGTCCTGTCTTTCTTCATGCGGCGGTGGTCTCGGTGGTGGCTGCGGTGACCGTTATTGTCAAGCATGACAGCTCGCAGCAGCACGTGTGTTCTTGTTCCTTTGGCGGATTGTCCACCCGAAGCCCTAGAGCCCACAGGCTCCTCACGATGCTAGAATCCGGCACCCAGCGATGCCACCGGGTATCACTTAAAGCCTAGAGGCTCGGAGCTAAAGACCGTTATGAAGGACCAAATGACCCTTAAAAGTAGGGGCCCTATACCCATATACTATGAATCTCTATATGGTATATGAACCTTAAACCCTTTTAGGGTTCAATTCGTCCTTAAGGGTTACAGTAAACCCCATAAAGTTGGAAACCGGATGAAGGCCAAATAGTGCTGGGATTCCCTATACACTACTCTTAAGGATTGAGGCTATAGGGTTTCCAACTTTTGGGCTTCTACTGTATGCCCAAGACCCTGAAGCCTCAAAGCCCTCACCGGCACTCCTCGCGTGCCAAGGCGAAGCAGGCGCTGAAGGACTCGCCGCTCCCAGCGACCAGAGTTTTGGTGCACCTGGCTCTTGATGGTTGCTGCTGGTTTCGGCTGGGTTTTCGGATTTCAGGTGTCGAGTTTAATCAATGTTTGTAAAGAGGTCTGGAGATTTAATGTTAGCTTTTCGGGTGTAGGGTTTAAGGGTTTAGGGGTTTTGGGCTTAGCTTTTTGGGTTTATGGTTTATGGATTCCGGGCTTAGCTTTTTGGGTGTAGGGTTTAAGGGTTTAGGGGTTGTTGTAAAGAGTTCAGAGTTTTCGGGTTGTACGGTCCAGGGTCTAGAGTTCTGGGTGCATGTACATTCTAACTCAGTATTCTGTCATTTTGGAAGCTGGAGAGATTGGGTTGGGGAGATTGGGTTCGTGCAGCCCTGCTTGTTTCGGAGTTTAACGTAGAAGCTGCCCCCACCCTGTAATAGTGGTATAATAGGAATATATTAGGGCCCTAATATAATATTAATACAATCCTTATGGTCACTATTACAGGGTGGGGGCAGCTTCTAAAGTTTAACTTCGGTTTCAAACTTACAGTAGAAGCCAGAAAGTTGGAATATCATTATCGTAACCCCTTTAAGGTAAGTTATAGGGGATCCGACCATGAATCCACATTCCAACTTTCTGGAGTTCACTGTTCAGGCTGAAGTCGCTTCTGGGTCTCTTGAATCTGGAGTCCTTCGGTTGATAAATCCTAGGGTTCCTCTAAAGGGATCTATAAGAGTACCTTTAAGGGGTTCCCTTAAGGGATCTGCAGGGTTTCAGGGTTTAGGATTGTGTGATATAAATCCTGCATCAGCTTAAGGACCCTAAGCTATGGGAATTATGGTATATTCCTTATTATCGGTAATGCAGGATGTACATCATCCACCGTTCCAAACTCTACGAAGCTTCTCATCCCTGGAACCTGGTCATCTAAACCCGGGTCATCTGAACCCGAGACCTCCATGCCAACTCATTCCAAAGTTGATTCTGGACGTCTTGCACAACATCTATCATCATGAACCCCAAGCAGTCATCCCATTTTGGTGATGCACAAGGCAAAATGTTTGGGCCAAAGCTGCACACCTGGTAGGTGCACCTCTCGTGCCTTTTCTGCGATCGATAGTCGGTCGACTTGCTTGTGTGTACCATGCCAATACAGCCAGTCGGAGCAATCAGCGATATTATTCCGTTATAGTTCCTAACATGATGGAAGTAATGGTACAGTGCACCCCAAACAATTTTTTGACTGTGAAGAAGCCCCTATACACATTGCTTTAAGTTCAGGTGTCGGAGGTGGCTTCCTTCGGGAGTTGGGGATGCAAGATGCAGGACTTCTGGGTTTAGGATTTATGGCGTTCAGGTTCAGGGTTCGAATATGTTCGAATCCCGGAGACATCATGCATCAACCGGGACATTCGATTGCTGGGGCTCTTTGCCTGATAGCTCACACCAGGGTGTTGGGGACGGGTGCCCTGCCCTGCCCTGCTCTGCCCTGCCCTGACTGCTGGAAAGGAAGTGTGAAAGAATTGGGTTTGCGTGGCTTGGCCGCCTTGCACGGCGAGCGTTGGCACGATGCACTGGACAAAGCCTTGTCGTAAGATACTATCGCCTGCGCGCTATTCCACAGCAAACCCTACAGTAAAACCTAAAGCCTAAAACCTAAACCGTCTTTTGGCATTGTGACTGAGGGCTCCGATCGCGCGGGCAGGCATGTGGGTACACAGTTCTCTGAATGAGGGTGCCCTCTAGGGATCATTCTATAGTGGTGCCGCACTATGTGGGGTTGCTAAAAAAGGGCCCGTAGTATAGAGAACCACCCAGGTGTATGTATGTATAACTGGACACATACCCACACTTACTACGGCCACTCCTTCAAACCTGTATCCGCGCTTGACTTACTACGGCCACTCGTTAAAGCCTGTACCTGCGCTCGATTGCATGTCGAAGAGATATATATATATATATATATATATATATATATATATATATTTCCAGACAGATAGCCGGAGGGATGGATATGGTTTGGTTGGAGCTGCTCATCGAGACTGTATGTATGTACGTATGTATGCATGGATGGGTGGATGGATGGATGTACTTGTTATGTATGTAGTCATGTAATCATGCAACTATGTGACGTGTGATTAGCGTGTGTATGTGTGTATGTATTCATGTAGGTATGTATGTCTGGATGTATGGATGTATGTGTGTATGTATGTGTGTGTGTTATGTATGTATGTGTGTATATATATAGATGCATATTTAAATCTATCTATCTATCTATTTGTCTGTCTCTCTCTCCGTCTATCTACATATCGAAATCTAGATCCACATCTGTATCCCTCTCCCTTTGTTTTGTTCTCGTGGTGTGTTTCTTTCTTTGTTTTTTTTTTTTTTTCTCTCTCTCTCTCTCTCTCTCTCTCGCTCTCTCTCTCTCTCTGTGTCTCTGTCTCTCCCTCTCCCTCTCTCTCTCTGCCTTCTCTGTCTGGGGGATGTAAAGAAGGCCTTATGCCGAGGCCCTGGAAGACTTAGTCATGGTTGTCTGCAAAGAAGTCCCCCGTAGCAGCTCAGGTGCATGACTTGGCCGCCACCCTCGCAGATCCCGATCTACCCGAAGCTTTTGCAGCCAACTGCGTGGCTGTGGCGGCGCAGCTGCTGTTGCACCCAGGTTGGACAGAACAACAGCCTGCCAACAAACCTGGTTTCGTAGGGCTTAGGGCTTAATATGCTAGGGCTGCCTTGTTTATTGGTATTCAGGAGGATGTTCAGGGGCTTCTTACGATTTGGGTACCTTGGTTAGGATGTCTAGTTAACCACTACACCCTTACGCCTTCAGGATCCTACTACCTGACCGAGAAGCTACCCCGATTGAAGCATTCTTACGATTAGTAGGAATCACGTCTGTTAGCCAAACAATACGTTGATCTCTGTCATAAATGGTATTTTGTATGCTTATTGTTACTAAAGCCTGTATTTCTTTCACGGGTGTAGAGGATTATTTTTGTTTCAGGGTGACAATTGATAAATGAAGGTTCTAGGAGGGTCTTACCAAGGTTTCTACAAGGGTTGCAGAAAGGCTCCAGGCCCAGAATCCCTGACCCACTGGTGCAATAGCTTTTCACTGCAAAAAGACAGCCCGAACCAGCTTTGTCGGGTTTACGAGTGTGTAGAGTTTGGTTTAGTATGAGTGTTTGGAGTTTCTAATCATTAGCACCTCCAGTTTGCAAGCCCTAGACCCTTAAACCCCCCCAAAACCACCCAAAAATCCCACAAAACACCAAAAAAACCCAAAAACCCCTAAGCCCCTAAACCCCTAAATCTATCCCCCAGGCCATGGTGCGACAGAGGAGGGCTTCTGCGAAGCAGAAGCCAAGCAGGCCCGGCCCAGCGGCCTCTGGGCTGCACTTGGGGGGTCGGGGGACTTAGTAAGTAGTTAGTAAGTAGACTTATAAGTACCCTAAAAGGGACCCTAATTTGGGTTATGGTACTTATAAGTCCCTAAAATAGCCAGTTACTAAGTCCCCCGACCCTCCAAGCAGTGCGCTGTTTCAGGAACACAGCTTTGATGCTTAGGGTGTTAAGGTTTAGAGTTTAGGGTTTCAGGTTTTAGGGTTTAGAGTCTAGGGTTTCAGGTGTTAAGGTTTAGAGTTCAGGGTTTCGGGTTTTAGGGTTTAAAGTTTAGGGTTCAGGGTTTAGTAATTGGGGGTTGTGACGTCGATACAGGTCTTAGGGTTTTCAGAGTTAGCCTTTGCCTAGGGATTGTGGGTTCGGCTTGTTTTTCAGAGTTGAGGGTTTGGAGTGGTGGTGATAGAAGCTCCGAGAGATCGAAGATGGAAGGTGCTTGTTGGAACTGTCAACCTGTTTTTACATATATAGGTATATGTCTAGGTACGTATCTTTATCTATCCCAATCTCTATTTCTCTCGCTCCCTCTCTGTCTATATACCTGTCTATGTCTTGCGAGTGAAGCAAGGTCGGGTGTGACAGGCAAATGCACTGTCAAAAGGTGCATAGAGCGACGTATAAGTCCTGAACCTTTCACATCCTTTCACCCCTAAGCCCGGCGCCCTGAAGCCCTAAAGCCGTAACCCTAAGCCCCAAACCCTAAACCCCTAGGGTTTAGGGTATCCTAAACCCTAAACCCTAAAACCCTGAACCCGAGTTCAAGCAAAGCCAAGGTTCGAGTATTGGGCTACTGGCCTTGGATGAGGCGCACCAAGAGCTGCTGGCTTCCCTGGCTTCTTGGACGGCTTCAGGGGGTTTGGGGTCTAGGGTTTTAGGGTTCGGGCTTCAATGCTCTCAAGCGGTTTTATGGGGTCCAGGGGTCTTAGGGTCTATAAGGGGCCTAACAGACTTTGAACCCGGAACCCCCCCAACAAAACCCATTCCCTAAACCGTGCCTACGCCTACCGACGCGTATGTCATAAATGTTTGACCACAAAACCGTTCTACATGCCGAACTCTAGGCCCGAGGCTTCAAACCCGGTGTTTTTCGCAAAGTTGACCAAGGTCGGCTGGAGCGCTTCGTACGTGTTGCTGGGCCTGTGTTGAGGAACATCACTTTGGTAAGCATGACCGCAAGAAGTAATACACAAGATGATGTCCCTGGTCTATGGCGATGCTTTGTTTCATGGAAACGGAACTTTTCTAGTTCTCTGCCCCCTTTAACGTCAAAGTTGCAGTCCGTTGTTCTCGTATCCTAAGATCAGCTCCCTAAACCCTAAACCGTAAAGCCTAAGCCCTGACCTGCTCAGCATCAAAGTATCAAGGCATGGGCCGCGGCTGCTGTCGTCCTTGGCGCTCTACCATGCTTTGGAGGCGCACCACCGGCGGGAGGTTTTTTTTTTTAGGATTTCGGGTCAAGGTCCTAGAGATTAAGCCCCAAACCCTGAACTAAACTGGGCATGTTGAGGCCTGCAAGATTCTGAGTTTTGAGATTCAGCAAGAATCCTTAAACTCCAACTTAGCAGTTACGGATTTCACCATAAGTCCCAGAAGTAGTAAGGTTCCCGAAACCGCGCCAGGTTTACACCAGCTTATCCCGGAGGCTCCATGGATCCGTATGTAGTGACGTAGTTCGTTTCTTAGCCGCAGAGACTTGCATCGGAGTCCTTCAAAGTCGAAGTTGATACGGTGTAGCTGCTCGGGGCCTGGGGGTTTAGGCTTTGGGGTGTGGGGTATGATAATATAGGAACCTGATTAAGAAACCTTGGCCCTTTATTAGGGTTACTTGTATGGATCCGACTATTTCGGGCTTATAGTACAGGGCCAGGGTTTCTTAATCAGGTTCCTACATTAGGGGTTAAAGTCTGGCGGGTTTCTGGTAATTGCCGGCGAAAGCTCCAGATAAAGCTTAGCTTAAGCTGTTCAACTGTGGACTTGCACATGGTATGCCTGTCCACTAGTATAAGGTTGTAGCACATGGGTGGAAGATGTCTTAAACTCGATTCAGCTCGCACGATCGCATGAGCAACTGCTGCAGGATCGGAAGCTGACGCCCGCATCCGGCGTGCCGCTTGGCCACGGTGTTACAGCTGGCCCTGCCCTGAGCCCTTGTAGCCACATGTACTTAGAGGATCATGGGACTTAGTAAGTAGGTTATAATTGGGGTTATAAGTCCCCTAAGTGGGGTTATCCTCCCTAAGTGGGGTTATCCTACTCATAACCTACTTACAACCTTATAGTTACTAAGTCCCATGAGCAATTAAGTAGTGGCACCTGTCGCCCCCCTTGAAACCCCCAAAACGAAAGCCGCCTCCCTGAGAGACCAAGTACCAAAACTGAGGTATTCGCGAGAAAACAAACAATGCAGGGTGTAGCTTTAGGCATCCGACAGCTCTAATTGATTTAGACGCCTAATTCCAAAATAAGCCCTCTCCCTTTTATAAGGAGTATGGCGCGGTCCGAGTGTTTTTGGGCTTCTTACACAGAACTCACAAGTCAGGCATCTATATTAATAAGTAACCCTAAACCCTAACCGTCAACCCTATATAGGTATCTCGTGGCCCTGGAGCGTCAAGTGCGCCACGCCTCTGCCTTCAAGCGGCTGCGGGAGCGGGTGCGCTTGCAGGCAGAGCGGGGCAGTGCCCAAAGTTTCGGGGTCGTAAGCACTTATTAGAAGCCTAATTTATTGCCAATATCATTCCTTTGGGCTCCTTATTTTAAACTGTAAACCGATAATTACCCCAACGTCCTATTCTAAAATTGTTAAGGCCCCTATATTCTATGACGGATACTTCCCCAAACCATTATCGTCTCTCCCACTATAGAAGCCATACTTTCTACTATATAGCTACTTGGAAGACTTTCTGTGCCTGCAAAAGACAAATTTGGGACCTTAGCTATTAGAATTCGAGCAGGGTTTGGGGCATATTGTGCTCTAAGTTGTGACCTCTATAGGGCTTAGGTTTTTTGGGGCTTACAGTAGACTTAGGGTTCCCGGATCTCTAGACCGACAGCTTAGAAGGGGCCCCCACCCTGTAATAGTGGTATAATGGGAATATACTTGGGCCCTAATATAATCCTATATAATCCTTATAGTCGCTATTACAGGGTGGGGCAGCTTCTAGTGTATAGGGGATTGGTTATGCCAAACCCAAACCGAGGATATAATCCGAATAGTCACTATCACAAGGGTGGGGGCAGCTTCTAACCGACAGCTTTGGACAAGTCACGGTTTAGGGTTTCGGGCGCGAGTCTGGTACTGTCGTCTCGAACCTCCCACTTCTCTTCGCTCCTGAGCCTGGGCCTGTGTAACTTCCTGGTCTTTGAAGAAGTCTGCTGCGATGAGCATGTGCTAGAAAAGTGGGGCATTCATGTTTGGAACAGCTTACAACCACTATGCTCTTGACCTCCTGACCTCGACCTCCCAAAACCCGGCTGAAGTAGTAAATCCTACGGCATTCCTGGAACCGGCGCGGATCCGATGGGCTTCAGGGTCCTTGATTTATGGCGTGCGGATTCGTCCCAGATGAACTGCTGCAACTTTAAGTGGCTTGACATAAATGTCGCAAGACAGGGAATCGAGAGCCCAAGAGAGCTAGGCTGCCACCCCGAAGCTGATAGTTTCTGAGCACTCAAGGCTTCAGGATTTTGGGGTTTAGGGTTCTATTTCTAGATCTCTCAACCAAAGACATGTTGGCTTACAGTATGGCTTACGGCTGCCAGGATTGGGTAAGCTCTGCCTGGTCTGCGGTGAAGCCGTCGCGTCCTTTGGACGTTGTTCTCAACGCAGCCTGCAAGCAGGCACTGCGACTTGCACCAACACTTGCGATTGAGGTCGTTGTTCTTGAGCATTTCTTGTGTAGTTGTTTGCACTCGTATTCAAGAGTCTCCTTGCAGCTTCGTTTTGACATGTTCGGTACATGTATCTGGGAAAGCCCTAGAACCTAAACCCTGAATTCCTAACCCCCTACACCCTAACACCCTAAACCCAATGCCGGGAGCTCTGCTTGGATGGGCCCAAGAAAGCTTCCATAGCCTATGGTAACCCCCTAAGCCGCGATCCTCAAGACTTAAGTGAATTCAGCTCACGCCCCAAAAACCCCAAGCCAAGCCCCGGGACCCTAATACAGAGGCCTTACTACTAATTACGTATACTGTTTTGAGGGGTTCCTTAATGTACCTATACTTTAATATACCCCAAAGCCCTGTCCTAATTATTGAGGCCCCTACTTTAGAGCCCTAAAGAAAGAAAAGAGAGCTCAACCCTGCTCCACTCCTGGGGTCCTCCCTCCACGATGTGAGGTCGAGGGCTTTCGATGCCTAAATAATACAGCCCTGGACACCACAAGTATGTAGAATCATAGCCTTTTGTAGGCTTGGGCCATTATTCTACCTACTTTGGGGGGTTTACGGCTGCCTGAGTTGCTTTGGGGTTCTCCTGAACATAAACATGCTAGCATATAGCGCAACACTACAGTTTCATTTTTCGGGACCGTACCTTGGCTTTTACTAAGCATATCAGCCCGAAGACCCGACGCTTAAACCAAGTCATGCAACCCTGTGTGGTAGGTTCGCTGGCATCCCATAACTCCCAAGGCCAACGCCATCCGGACCACCACCGTCAGTGCCACCGAGTTCAGCCGTGCGCACATCCGGCAGCCAAGTGCTGGGCGAACCAAAACGTCAAGCTTACAGACCCACCGATGGAGTTCTGCTTGGAAGGTGAGAACACGATCCATATTCGCAGCTGGGGTGAGAAGCCGCGCAGGCTCACCACGGGCTTGCTTCTCAGGGACTTCACGAACGGCCAGATGCTTCGCGGCACGGAAGTTCCGCCCACTGCCGTCGTTTCTCGGTGGGCAACCGAGTTTTCAGTCAGTGTATCGACGTTCTTTTCAAGCAACGAGAAGCTCGTGCTAGCCGTTCTGTCTTGGAATTAACGGGCGGCGAACTACATGAGGAGGATAAGCCGGATGCAAACATCCAAGTGTCCCCTTGTTTCGACAGCCCCATGATCCGTCCTTTAGACTGCGAGAACCCTCCGCTAAAGATCCTCATGTTCGGGGGTTAGGGTCTAGAACTTTAGGGGTTTGGGTTTTGGGGTTTAAGGGTTTGGGGTTTCTAGGGTTTAGGCCTCAAACTAACAATAGCCTTCAACCGTTGACTCACATAATAAAGCCCTAAACGCGAAAACCTAAATCCCAAGATCCGACGGTGCAGCATGTTGATCCCATGCATACTAATGCAAAGGCAGGAATAAGTATGCCTTCCGGTTCCGCAATAGCATCAGTTTATAACATGCCCCCGATGTCCCATTCTAACCATGCAGGCCGCTAGGCCCCTTACTACAAACACACTTGTCGACCCCCCTTGCTTAAAAGGAAGCCTTAAAGAAACCCTTTTCTAATCTCTCAGGCAAACCCTAAACCTAAACCGCAAACCCGCAACCCTCCCTAGTACCAGGACCCCCCACCGGCGCCCTTAATAGTAGGTATTTGGGCTTTACTAGAGGGTAGTTGGGGGTCTAGGTATTGACTCTACACATGCTGAGGTTCCTGGAATTCCCTTATAAACCGTAAACCTTAAACCCTAAACCCCAAACCCTAAAGTATTGACACTACACATGCCTGGTTTCCTGGAATTTCGGGGCTGCCCTAAACCCTAAACCCCAAGCCCTAAGCCTAAACTCCAAACCCTGAAGTATTGACCCTAAACCCCAAACCCTGAACCCCGAACTCTAAGCCTAAACTCCAAACCCTAAAGTATTGACCCTAAACCCAAAACCCTAAAGTATTGACCCTACACATGCTTGGTAAGCCTAAACTCCAAACCCTGAAGTATTGACCCTAAACCCTCAACCCCAAACCCTAAAGCTCGGGGCTGCCAGGTGTTTTGCGACCTCTGGTCCCCTTCACCACTTTCGCCGGACTCTCGTTGTTTTCAGGGGGCTTTCGAGACCGTACCTACAGTCTCCATTGTAGCTCCTTATTTTTGGTGTTAACCAAATCGATATTACAGGATCCTAACCACAAAATTGGGTAACCACAGTGGAGACTATAGGTAATGCTGTTACTACTACTGGCGATATGACTGCAATCGCTAGTAAGGTTCAGCGTTTAAGTCTAGCCTCTGTTTCTTTGTGTTTTTTCGAGGGTGCGCAGTTTTGTCGGGTTATTGGCTTTAGGACATACTATGATATACTCGTTCGGACTCAGACTTTTGTGGCAAAAACCTGGCCTGTGCCCGACCCGGAAGACCCGCCCTTGAATGCCCCGGGCAGGCGAGTCAGTGTCACCATTCCAGCAAGGCACCAGAAATGATTGAGCTGTGTCAAGGTGCAATGAAGGTCCAACATACTAAAACCGACCCCACAAAAACTCACGATGCAACTGGGAAACGCCACAAAGACTAACCATCGCGTAGGGTTTAGGGTTCAGGGTTACCCTACACCCTAAACGCTAAATTCATGTTGATGCCAAACCCTCCCGTAGGGATACTATATGCGCCCCGTCGGTACCACAACGGGTTATACAGACACATGTATACATACCTATGTATGTATGCATTGTTTATAGAGGTCCAGAACTTAGGTATATATCATAGGGGCTTCAATAACTACCAATTAATACCATAGTGGTGATTCCCTATTTTAGTTGTGGTGTGATATACCCCAAAGCCCTATTCTAATTCATAAAGGCCCTTGTATATCGACTCACACCTCAATTGTAATTGACTCCCCAGACCCCGAGCAGGATCTAGAAAGTAGATCCCCTAATTTGGGGCCCTATACTACTCAGTGTACTTTGTAGGAACCCCCATTAAGGGATCTACTTTTTGGATCCTCCCAAAGGTCCAGGCGCTCTTTTTGCGCCGTTAAACTCTGCCAGGGTGGATGCAGAAGGCGACGATGCCCCGGCCGTTGATGAAGGCCGGTCTCTGGGACTGGTACCAAGACGCACAAAGTACACAGGATCTAATCGTGAAAACAGTAATGAAGCACAAGACTACAAACAGTAAGAGCAATGCAGTAAGAATAACAATAGTAATATGAATGCTGTTAATACAAAATAATAACAATGACACTACAAGCAGTATTAATGAGAATAGTCGAATGATAGTAAAGACAATAGCAATACAAATGACACTAGGAAGAATAATAGTAATGATAATAGCAATAACAATAATAACAGGAAGAAGGTGTTTGGATTTAAGGGTAATGGTTGTGCAGGCCTCAGAAGGCTAGTGTTTGGGAGCATAAGAATATTGGTGCTTGGGCTGCGGCGGTCGGTCCACGCGATAGGTCCTCCAGAGCCTGTCTTGAACCCTTAGGGAAACGGGTCTTAAGCCCAATGCGAAAGGCTCTACACCAACAACAGCGGCGAATCGTCATCCTAGATTCCAAACCCAGACCCGCAACAGAACTTATTCATGCAGCCATCCTAAACCGTCAACCGCAAACGCAAAAACAGCAGAAGTAAAGACCACGACGAAGCAGGAAGAACCAACGCGAAAGAAGCACAAGCCATTGCAGCCACCCATAGCCGAGCCAGGCCCAACGCACAAACCTGATCACCCCAGGTGGAGGAAGACAACGTCGGCCCACCCGGCCCCCACGAGGTCACGACTCCATCCTGGGATGCAAAACGGGCTACCGGGTTTAGGGTTTAGGGGTCTAGGGAATCCTCATAGAACCCAGCTATGTAGTGCGAGCAGGGCTCTACCCCGCCAGAAGGCTTCCTATGAAGGCTTTGCACTATAAGGATGTGGGATTCAGGGCTTTAGGGTCGTCGCAAAGGGGTTTCGGTAGGGATGAGGGTACCCATAACACGGGACCCTGAACCCACGCATGCTAAGGAATGCCAATCTCAACTGTCTCAAACGTTTTTGGCATCCTAGTTATACTATGAGCAACAGTCTTGGGGTTCACAGTTTACTTGGACCCCCAAAATCTTACCTGTTGGGGTTCCTTATTATTGAGATCCTTGTATTAATAAGTCGTTAAAAGGTAGGTGATTTGGGGTCCAGGTAGGCGCGATATAGGGCTGCAAGGGATGGGGTGTAGGGCTTACAATGGCTGAGTTTTGATAGGATTCGGGGCAAGTTTAGAATCTGCTTGCTAATTACAGGATTCGTTTCAAGCTTCAGTGTTCTATGGTGGCACGGTAGAAGGTATTCTGGGGTATGTTGATATCAGGCTGAGGGATTGGTGAGCCATGGGAGGTTGCGGATCCTGAAGTCTTGCTGTCGCTTTGACTTCTTTAGGCTCAGATGAGTAAGTATCGGCCAGCAAACACGACATTCGCATCTCTTTCCGCTTTTCATCATACTCGGGGAGCGCCAGACCTCACCATGCAACCTCCCAAACCGTAAACCCCAAACCCGAAACCGCAAACCCTAAGTCCCAAGCGCCCAAAACCCCAGGCCCAAAAAGTCGAAACCCTATTTTAGGGGCCTTTATAGGTAGAATAGGATACTATATTAGAAGCTGCCCCCACCCTGTAATAGTGGTATAATAGGAATATAATAGGGCCCTAATATAATCCTATATAATCCTTATGGTCACTATTACAGGGTGGGGGCAGCTTCTAAGTATTATACTACAACTACAAAAATGGAACCCTACCCCAAGCCCGTGTGAGTGCCATCTCGAAGGCCAGACCGGTGAAGCGGATGTCGCCGTTTGCGCATCCCTGGTCGACAATGCCAGGGCCCTTGGGCTTTTTTAGGGTTTAGGGGTTTAGGGGTTTAGGGTTTAGGGGTTTAGGGTTTAGGGTTTAGGGGTTTAGGGGTTTAGGGTTTAGGGTTTAGGGTTTAGGGTTTAGGGGTTTAGGGTTTAGGGGTTATTTAGGGGTTTAGGGTTTAGGGTTTAGGGGTTTAGGGTTTATTTAGGGGTTAGGGTTTAGGATTTACGAGGGTTTAGGGGGCTTAAGGTCCTTTTTTTGTGCCTACGATGGGCGCCTTCCCTATATTTAATCATTAAATAAGCCCCTAGAAATTACCAAAAGGCTCCATTGTGGTTCCTTTTTGTTGGTTGGCCAACTTTGTGGTCAGGATCCTGTCGTCCAACCAAACAAGGAACTGCAATGGAGACTGTTCCTAGGCCGGTGTCTAGGGTTTTGGGTCTCCTGTTTTGGTATAACGATAACGACTATGCGTTTGTGCTGATCGTCCTATTATTTAGATATCGTACTTGGAAGTAGTTCAAGAATTCCGGCTGCTCAAATTGGGTTTCAAGGTGTGGATTGGGTTATTATGCTTCTTTGGTTTCGGCATCCTGGTGGAGCTTGATGAAGGCTCATTGTTGGCCGCGCAGGGCTGCGAAGTTTTCAGGTGGAGTGGAGCTGTAAACGCCAACGCCTACTTTAGAAGTCTGAATGAGTAGCACATCCTACTTCCTTATGCCTGTGCTCACTTTATAGTTCTGCGTTCAGGATTCAAAGGTAGGCCATGAGTATTTTGCAAAAGCCTGAGAACCCCTTGTAAAATTTCCATAAGTGGACGAAAAGCCAGCAAATTTTAATATCTTGTTAATCAAAGCCCTGCACGGTACCACACCACAAAAAAATGTTGTCCAACTAACGCAAAGCCCTATGTCCAATGCACTATACTCCACAAGCCCAAAGGGTCCTAAGTACTGTTGTGCGGGATACTTCCCCAAATCAGAATAGCTATTCCTGATATAGAAACCCTACACTCTACCATGCAGGTACTTCGGACCCTTTAGGGAAACCCTCTTCCGCCTGCATCTGACGAGGTACCGAACATGGCCGGGCTTGTTCGCACGTCTGAGGCTTTGCTGGGCAGCCTTGACCTGAGGTGAGGAACACTCAAACTGGCCAAAAACAAGAGAGTAATAATCTCACAAGTTCGTACCTGGACCCCAGAAGTACGTAGAATAATATTCGGGCCATCATTTTAGTTAGTCTTGCGGGTTTAGGTATACTACAAATAAGATAGCAGGCTTTGCATGTTTTTCGTCTGCGGCCCCTCGACATTTCATGTGCTTTGAGCCGGCGACCCAGAGTTAAAAGTATCCTGGGATCCTTGAGGAAGGGAGCTCCAAGGGGGGTGTAGGGTTTAGGAGTTAGGATTTAGGGTTTAGGAGTTAGGGTTTAGGAGTTAGGGTTTAGGTGTATGACTTGACCTATTAATCGCCAATTCTCCCCCGTGAAGTTTGTGAGCTCAAAGAGCTCTGGAGACGTTTGGCTTTAGGAGTGAGTTGGACCCAAGGTTGTGTGGAAGTGGCTCTCCGCAACGACAAGGCTCAGCACTCAGCTTTGCACAGCGACGTGCAGTCTTTTCTTCGGGGTATTTAGAACCATTTTTCAGGTTTGGATCCTATCATCCCTAAAAGCAGCTACAATTACATTTGTTGCTAGGGGTCGCCCTTATAGTAACTGTCAAAAAATAGAGTAGCTCTCAGCACTAATCATCCTAAATCCATGTTCCAATCCTCCGAGGTTCACCAGAAACCCTACCTATAGTCTCCATTGTAGTTCCTTTTTTTGGTTAACCAAAATCTCTATTCTAGGGTCCTAACCATAAAATCGGATAACCAAAAAAAGGAACTACAGTGGAGACTACAGGTAGACCCAAAGCCGAGGATGCTTTCGCTCTAGTTATTCTCCGACACCCCAATAACATCCATGTAGAACCCGTATCGGCCCCATACAGTCTGCTTCAAGAGCCCTGAACCCTGGCCCTAAGCCCTGAACCCAAAACTCCAAACCCTGAACCCTGAACCCTGAACCCTGAACCCTAAACCCCTAAACCCCGAACCCTAAACCCTACAGCCCTAAACCCATAAACCCTAAACTTCCCTACACCGTGAGCCCCAAACCCCTAAACCCTGAACCCTGAACCCAAATCTGCCCCACTCTACGAGGTGAGATCGGAGGGTCACTTTCAAAAAATGGTCGTTGCGGCAGACTCTCGATCTGCACATGGTTCAAGAAGTAGGGGTTTGGGTTTCAGGGTTTGGGGTTCAGGGTTTAGGGTGATGTAAGAAGCCGGTTCAAGAATCGGAGGCCGCAAAAGGGGGGATGAAGGTTGGTAGGATGAAGGATCTCTTATATAAGGGCTCCTAATTGGGAACATCCCACCTACCTTCATCCCACCCTTGGAGTCCTTGGAGAGAAGCGACGCCTCTTGCGTGCGAAACCACTTCTTAGCAGTACAGGAGAAGCCCAGGGAATCCCGGCACTATTTGGCCTGAATCCGGTTTCCAGATTTATGGGTTTACTGTCGAGTAGGCAACCTTTTGCCGTTTTGGGGCGTCAGATTTGGCTTATGGCCTCAAAGGTTAACCTTTAGTTCCCCATGATACTCGACAACTAAGCCTGAAGTACCCAAGGACTAGGTGTTCTATGCTTCAAGGGTAAAGCACCGAGTATAGGTGGACTTTGGGGTTGTGGACAAATAGCATTTGTATCCTAAGCCCTACACCTACACCCTCAACTTAGGCGGGTATATTTTCCTTCGTTACACAGACCGTTTCAGTAAGCTCTTATGAAGGCTCAGTAGGCTTGCGACCTTCGACGTTTGGTGCCACCGAGGCATTTGTGTAAACCGTTCTTGAAGAACCTTAGAAAGCCCTTACCCTTAGGCTCTAGGGACTCGTATTTTGCGGCTGTTGGGCCCAAAGATCATACTATTTTGAGCCTTAGGGTTGTGCTTCCGTCCTAGGGCGCTCTATACCCAAGGCATAGGAGGTGAAAGCTGAATATCAAAAGGTCCGCTTAGGGATATTGGCTCGGGATTGAGGGTTTAGGGTTTCTGCTTGCTTTCAGTTCACTCGTGAGTGCACATTGCCTAAGCACGAAGCCGCAAGCCTCTGTCTTCGAAAGCTTCCACATGTCAAGGGTTGGGTTTTGGGTGTATATAGGGGTTCAAGGTTCAGGGGTTTCGCATGGTAAGACACCGATCGCCAGATTGCGCTAGTCACAAGAATGACGCGCTACGAAGAACCGAGCCGAAGACAGAACACACTGAGTGACATAACTTACACTCTGATATACCGCGCTTTCATCACTATTCCACCTATATTTTTTTGCCCCCTACATTAACATGAACCCTTCTTCCAGCGGAGGACAAGAATGTGCGCTCGGATCTTAGAAAAAGAGGCCAATTGAGGAGGGGCACATTTTGGAGTTTCTTTTCTGGTGGCTTCTCAGCGGCTCCAGTTACCGACATAATGCGTTAGTGGGTTGTGTTTTATCGTTAGCACCCGAAACCCAGAACCGTAAGTTAGTAGCCTGCTATTTAAGTAACTGAAGCTCTAGGGTCATTAAGCTGAGGCAATTAGCTGGCACGTTAGCAGCATTCTCTCATGTCAGGTTTACCTGCACTCGTGTTATTCTTATGTCTACTATACTATTCTGTGTTTGCCACTGCGGCGAAGGGATGGCCCTAATATAGAAGACGAAATATTTAGCGATGTTGTTTTGTAAAGGGGTCCTGGGTATAATCATTGTAAAATACACCGTACCCCAGAACTCCATTCTCATTATTCAGGCCCCTTCCTGAGACTCTGCGATTTGTTACTTACATTGTCCAGTCTTCCACCACCCTGATCCCTAAACTCACTGATTCTTACGATCCTGAGCATTCATCTTATAGTTATTGCGGTTGCCAGTGTTACTGTTCTACATTGTACTCATCATTGCTGGACATGTCGTTACGTTGCTGATTGTCCGGCGAATGTAGGAACCTGATTCAGAAACCTTGGGCCTATAACCCCAAAATAGTAGGGTTCATATAAGGAGCCCTACTAAAGGCCCAAGATTTCTTAATCAGTTTCCTACATCAGCAGTGGCCAACCCCAGGTCAACATTCTCAACCGGTGGCCTCCCGAACCTGTAGACGGAAGTTTAGGTTTTAGGGGTTCAGGGTTTAGGGTTTGAAGTTGGCGTCACACGCTGTTGCGTTGCCCTTCGTCCCCAACGGTGTACCGTGAATGTTATACAATGCCGCATCAGTGAAATACAGCTGCCTGCATCAATGTGCGGGTACTCGGGTGCCAAGAACCTCTGTACAATCCTACAGAAACCGGAAACCCCTCAACCCTATATCCACTAAAACGGTACGGCTCTATACCACAACTCCTTACATCCCGAGGTCTCTCGGCAGTGCCTCCTGGCCCTCGTCTTCTGCACTTCCTCCGGGAGCACCGGGCACAGGGAAAGCAGGCCAGACCGGATTTCAGTCTCCTGAAAACCACGAGGGTAATGGGGGGGGGTTGATGAAATATGACACTAAATTCGAAAAAGCTCAAAGTGGGTACTATGCATAGACTTGAGACCCCCCAAGTATGATCTCTATACTTGGAGTCTTCTGGCAATTTTGGGGGCCTTGGTAGTTAGAGCTCCTTATGCTGCTGACAGACTTCGAAGACCAAGCGGTCGCACCCAAAAGGCCGAAGCTCCAAGTACTAGGATGCCCTGCAGTACCCTTATGAGCTTTTTGTAGTCCTAGGTTCCTTATAAAGTTACCCAATACCAAAAAGGGAGCCCTTTGTTCCAGGTTTCTGGGCATCGTAGTTTAACGTAGAATGGGGAGGCTCTACCTGCAGTTTCAATCGTAGTTCCCTTTAGAAGGAACCCAAACAAGGAACTAGAATGGAGAATTGCGAGGGTACATAGGGCTTAGAGTTTCTGTTTCGAGGCTCAGCGATTGGAGGGTCACGGATATGAAGTCTCGGGCTACGGGTCTCTATATTCGGCACGGCTGAGATCCGAAACACCATAACACTTTCAAGACCTGTCAAAACCGCTCGTTGTTATCCCTCGCACCTTGCGTTTTACAGAATACTCCTTCAATCGTGAGGCTCCAGCTCAAAACTTACCCTGGGGCTCCATTTACCTGAATAGTAGGTTACTACCATATACTATATACCACAGTAACCTACTATTTCGGCAACTGGAGCCCTAGGGCAAGCTCAACTCTAAAACTCCGGCCCAAAACGTCTTCCATGTCGCCCGATGGTTGGCGAGGTCGTGGCCTTAGAGCAGACGTCCAACAGCGAGATCTTGCAGGCGTGCGGGTGGGTATAGAAACATATATATATATACACACACACCAGCGATATACAGAGAGTAAGGTATATAAATATACAAGTATATATATATATATTTATATTTATATGTATATATATATATATATATATATATATGTATGTATGTATGTATGTATGTATGTATGTATGCATATATGCAGATGTAGATGTAAGTTTATATGTATGTGTGTGTGCGCGTGCCTATAGAGTCCAGCAACCCCTTAATCAAGAAGACTCTGCAAATTGTAGAAGGGTCTTCAATATGACTGCCTGTTTTTTGCTCTTCGTCTGTTTGCCTCCCTCGGTCTCTCGGTGTCTGTTACAGTCCGTGTGTTTATAAGTTTGCTGTTTCACCCTACATCTGAGGGTGCTTGTTTGGCAACTGCTTGTTGCAGCAATGGTTCCCACCTGAAGAAGTTTCACTCTCAGCAGCTACAGCAAGTGGAAGTAGCAGTAGCAGTACTGCTCTTCGTCGTAGTCGTGGCACCGGTGCTGCTTGAGATGGTGGTGGTGGTGGTGGTGGTGGTGGTGGTGGTGGTGGTGGTGGTGGTGGTGGTGGTGGTGGTGGTGGTGGTGGTGGTGGTGGTGGTGGCGGCGGCGGTGGTGGTGGTGCTCCTGCTGCTGCTGCTGGTTGGGTGCTGCGGTGGTTGTGGAAGAAGCAGGAGGAAGCGATATCCTCAGAGTCGTACTTGCTGCATGGTTATCGGAATCGGCAGTGGTCTTCAGGAGCTCCGAAGCTCCCTGTGTAGAGGGTGTTGATTCATTTTTTGACAGTCTTGAGCACGGGGCTCTGCAGGATTCCAGAGGCTATGACAGCAACAGAATCAAGTTGGGGTTTTGTGGTGTTAGACCCTAAACCCCAAACTCTAAACCCTAAACCGCTAAGAAGTGTGCTCAACACACTTCCGAAGAAAGTGCGCAGGAAACCTTGGAGCTTTCGGCCATCCGAATTTTTGAGTAGCAGATGTTGGGTTTAGGGTTGAGAGGGCTCTGGGTTTAGGATTTAGGGTTAAGAAGGTCCGGGTGGCACTGAGGGTTCATTGCGGGTGCAGTGGATCCTATAGGCTCCAAAGGTAAAAGGAGGGACCCTTAATAAGGACCCCTAGGTCCTAGGTATACCCTTAATATAGCTATTATATACCCATTATATAGCCCATTATAGGGTAGGGGTCCCCATTAAGGGTCCCTCCTTTCCCCCTTTGATAGACTGTGTGCAGAGCTCGCGGTACATAAGACAATCGTGAACCGTAGCGGTGAGCACAGGCCGGAGCGGACACTGAATCAGAGACTCCAATATCCCTTAGTTAAGGAAGAATCCTGAAATCATATAAGGGATCCTTATAATTTAAGGTATATTCCTCAAGTAAGGGATATTGGTGTCTCTAAGTATGTCTTTGCGGGTGTTTTCTTGGTTGTGCCTTGAAGGCCAAGTGAATGCGCCGTCAAATGTAGAAGCTTCGGTTCTTCTACATTGATGCTTCTATTGCAGATGCCTGGTTGATTTTCTGCGCTGATACTTCTCGTGTTGTTCCTTGTGCCTGTCGAGCGGGCGGAGTCTATGTATTAGCACGTTTTGATTCTAAGATCTGGGCCAGTGCACTTTGCAACCTCGCTGCCGTTGTATTGCTACAGCGCTACAGTTGGGGGGTGTGGGGGTGGGGCATGCCAAGGCAATGCCAATTGCTCCACGTACGAACTGGAGACGCACTTCCTTCAACTTGCAAAGCGCTGTGGAATGTCGTCGCACGCATCTCCAGGTGAAGTCACAAGAGCAAACCGATAACAACCCTGGAAGCAGACGCCGGATTGAATCCAACAACCACTGTCCTCCAGTAAGGCAATGCATGCTGAAGCTTCTTTGTGCAGGCTACAGAACCCATGCAGCCTGTGCAGAATTCCCAACTGCTGTGTAATGTGTGGGCATCAATAATAGGGAACCTCCAAAATAGTATTAGAAATTCGCCCCTACGTCAGCCAGGCCGGCACGCAGCTGCCCAAACGCTTCGTTCTTCTTCTAGGTAGCGAGCAGGCAGGGTTTAGGGTTTACTCGAAGTTTGCCAGGCTTCTCGATGCTGGTAGGGGTAGACCATGCATGCGCTCAGCGGCCATCTCAGCAGAAGGTCTGGTTTGTGGGTTTTCTCGTCATGAGACCTCGAAGAAGGAGTCTGAGCCTTAAGCCGCACAGCGTCGAACCCAGACATTGTCGCTCCAACGCCTATATGGGAGTTTCCGAAAATAGGGGACCCTAATATAGTACCTAAATTGTAGGATCCTGGTTGTAAAGTACCCCAAAATAAGGTACCCCTAATTTTTGGGAAACTCCTATATAGCAAGACGCCTTATATATAAGTTCAGGCAAAGTTACGTCACACCTTTAACAAAACACTGCAAGTCGGACACCCGAAGCCCTGTGAGCCCCGGAGGAGGGCCTTCCAGCATGGCTGCTTCAAAGTGGCCTCGTTGACCGGTTCGTAGTGGCTCTGGCAGGTTTAGGGTTTAGGGTTTAGGGGTTAGGGTTTAAGGGGTATATTAGGGTTTAGGGTATATTAGGGTTTAGGGTTTAGGTCCATGAACTTTGGTGTTTGAGGGTGTGGGTACTTGAATGATCCTGTGATCATTAAACATTAGTTGTTACCTTTCCTCCTGGGTGTCAGTTACATTTGCAAGCTATCTGCATGTGTTCTTCGAACCCTTTCGCGTTTCCAACTGCATGTGCTAATACCGTCCGGGAAGGCATTCAGGTAGTTCTTTCATGAGAGGCATGTGCTGTATGAGAAGGGGTCGATTTTCCGGGCCTCCCATCGCTGCAATCCTGGGTTCCTGAGCAGTTCCAATAGCCCTTGGGGTTTGGGGTCGCTTTTGGGAAGGCGTTCGGTCTAGCTAAGGGGTCATATCCTACCGTTTTGCAGGTTTTGGGGATACAGGTAAACCCTGTGCACTGGAGGATGATCTGGTCTCTCCTCGAATTTGAGATGCCTCTAGTTAGGAGCATACCATATGGTGCGCTGAGGTTGAATATTTCCTGTGCCTCAGGGTTCCCAGTATTGTAGGTACTGTATAATGCGCTTAACCCCGATTCTAACGATGAAGGCCTTCCTGCTTGCAACAGAGGGGAGATAAGTGACGACTCAGAGCTTCACCAACACTGTTTCCTAAGCCCTAAATGGCCCTAAACCCTGAATAAGCCATCTATACAAAATCCATCTAAGCCTCAAGCCCGAAACGCCATATGTCCAGATCCTCCGATGCGCCATGCAGAAGGCTATGTCAAGCTCGTAAGCCCAGCAACCTGAACTCAATTTGCTGCGTAGGATCTAAACCTTTGTAGCTCCTATGGGTTGTCCTACGGTTGATGGTATAAATCCTGCATTACCCATGATAAGGAATATACCATAATTCCCATAGTTTAGGGTCCTTAAGGTAATGCAGGATTTATATCATCAACCGTAGTACATAATATGCCCAAACCCCACGCCTATGATCCGAACCCTGCCTTGCTAACCCTAGGTCCCCATTGCAAGAAGCCTGTTTACCTCCAACGATTTCGATTCACTACCACCTGCGATGTTTTCATCAAAGTAGTAGTAGTAGTAGTAGTAGTAGTAGTAGTAGTAGTAGTAGTAGTAGTAGTAGTAGTAGTAGTAGTAGTAGTAGTAGTAGTAGTGGTAGTAGTAGTGGTAGTGGTAGTGGTAGTGGTAGTGGTAGTGGTAGTGGTAGTGGTAGTGGTAGTCGTAGTAGTAGTAGTAGTAGTAGTAGTAGTAGTAGTAGTAGTAGTAGTAGTACTAGTAGTAGTAGTACTGGTATTCGTAATCGTAGAAATACAACAGAATACGCCAACTGAAGAAGCTTGCCAGGAGCTTCCTTTGCGAGGACAGACAGGATCGCTCAACGTGGTGCACCCGGCCCGATATATGGTTCCTATGTCTTTGTATACAAGACTTTTTGCGGGGTGCACTGTCTATGCAAACACCTGTGCAAGAAGCCTACGCCCTCATCACGTTTGTAAATGTGATCTTTTTAAAGGCGTTCGTGTAAGGAGCTCATCAGCCAGGGCTCTAATTACGGTGTACATGTATGCATGCATGCATGTAAGCATGTAAGTACATAAACAGGTGAACTCAAGGTGCATGTATGGATTCGGACCTGACAGTTTGGGGCTATTTAGGATAAGGGCTCGAGTGTCCAGGATCAAGAGCCGTGATTGCCTTAACCTAAACCCTAGAGACACTCAGGAATAATACAGTAGATCCGGATCCCCTAAACCCCAAGCCCTGAATCCAACATATGATTCATATGATTTAGTGCGGTATTTGGGGAAGTTTGAGTATTTGGGATCAGGAAGATCAGCGCGCGATCTCCGACCCGAAGCCCGAAGACTTCGTATCGAAAGCCAAAGCCCTCAACCTTACAGAGCCTACAACAGGTAGTATTATTAGGGAGACCCCTTAATGGGTACCCCTTCTGAACCCTACTTCTGGCTCTCTTAAAAGGGGCCTTATTGAGAGGGTCTATATCCCCAAGGGTCCCCCTAATCCTACCTCCCATACAACAGATTGCGCAGAATAGAAATGATATCGATCCCTTGTTACAGCAAAAGCCTCGCATGAAAACCTTCGGAAGTGAAGAGTCGCATTTGTAACCCTAAACCAAGCACCAAGCCGTATACCTGAAACCCCAAACCCTGCAAACCCTATTCCTGGGATGCTTCCGAGGTGCACGTTGCAGCTGCCATGCTGCTGCAGGGGCCCAAGCCAAAGATCGTCGTGACTGAACTCTACCCAGAGGCCCCAAAGTAGTTCCTTTTTGGGGTTCATATATAGAATCCTAAACGTAATCCCAAGAAGGAACTACCGCGGGGCCTCTGGGTAAATCCTAAACTCTTGAAGCCCGCTTCCACCTTCTGAAGCCCCTCTTAAGGCCCATGAGTTTCAGTCTTGCCATAACAGGACTTCATGGTCTCTCTCGTAACAATTCATTGTGCGCGCAAAGTGGAACCGTTTATGGTTGTTGGTCATCTTGTAAGTCTGTTCATCTTGGTCATCTTGCTTTTGGGTCTTTACTGGGCCCCCCCCCACCCTCCCGAGTCAAGTGGTGCAAGATGGCCAAGATTACCAGGGTGACTATTCATCTTGCGGGTTCCACTTTGCCGGCACACTGTAACAGCAGTAAGGGCAGTTTTTCTGTTTTCTTTATGATGGTAATAATGTCAATAACAAGAATAAGAAGTGTGGGAGTTGTTTCGTCGAATCAGCGACGCAACATGCCGCAACGAGAACAAGCAGCAGAATGACAGGGAAATGGGGATATGACGATTATCATTAAAGAGAAAAGGATAGTTGCAGTTTTCCAGGACTTGACAAGACTCCCCAAACCCTAAACCCTGACAAAACAACCCTTCCATGACCGATTTCAGAAACAACGGCATCACCAACACCAACACCAGTGTTGAATGAAATCCAGGAAGGACCTTGATGCGTTTGCCGTTTGATGTCTGAGGTGGCACTACCGCCTGCAGCACTGAAGTGAGCGCAGAAAAGGAAGTAGCTGCAGCACCCTCTTTGTAGTTTCAGTTAAGGGTATCTGAGAGTTTCCGAAAATTGGAGGATACCTTAATTTTTGGTGTTCCCTCGTATAAGGATCCTGCTATTTAGGCTACCATGTACTTAGGGTCCCCTATTTTCGGAAACCCCCAGAGAATCCCTAACCGAGGTGTTAAGGGTCTAACGGAGGGTTGTGATCGCTGTGCAGTGAGGGCATTGGGCTTCGTTCCTATCGAACAACCGGCAAACTTCAGTTGACCAAACATGTTTATAGTACCCGTTTTTTGAGGTACTCTTTCTATAGTATCCGCATATTCAGCCACCCTCATAGATGGTATCTGCATACTGCCACCAAATCTTGGCCAACAAATCTTGGCCGAATCCTCCCTTTCGGGCCCTACTAGGCTCCTGCTTTTCAGCGGGCTCAGTAAGTAGGATGTTTAGGGTTCAGGGTTTAGGGTTCTCTTGATTCGTTTGGGCTTCTTTGAGGGCCAAAGGATCCGGGGACCTTGTAAGTAGGGTTGCGTGTAAGGTGACTATGCGCATGTCTACACAGGATCCCACCTTGGGGACATGCGGCCTCACCTAGAGTTTCACTGGACTTAGTATGTATGGTTATACATACATTTGCCGGGGGTCAGGAATGCTAGCAGCAACCACCTTGCTTGTAAACCTACTTGCTACCTTCCTGTAGCCTCCATAGAAGGCGGCAGTTAACCGAACCTCGGTTCTGCCCTCGAGCAGCCTTATCAATGATTTGTGACATGCAAGTAATTTACGGGCCTTAGTAATTAGAACAGGGTTTGGGGGGGTAGATTTTTAGTATGACTATAATAAGCAACCCCGCCAAAATAGTATAGTGTAGATACTTATTAAGGCACCTTGATTATGTCACTAGGTGTTTGTGCGAAGTCGGGCCAGCTCCTGCGGATTTTTGCAACTTGCATTTTGGGGTTTAGGGTTGTTTAGGGTTGAGGATAAGGTTTAGGGTTTGAGGCTTAGGGTTTAGGGTTTTTGAGGGTTCAGGGTAGGGTGTTGGGTTTGAGGTTTAGGAGTTAGGGTTTCTTAGGGTTTAGGGTAGGATTGTGAGTTTGGGTTTGGGGGCAGATCTTCACCGCCTGAGCTTTCTGCTTTGTGCAAGTGGCCAGGCTCGCAGTACTTAACCACGGGCATGATGTCAACCCTCATCCCTACCCCCAAGCCTACTTGGAGGGTCGGGGGACTTAGTAACTTGTTATTTTAGGGAATTATAAGTACCATAACCCCCAATTAGGGTCCCTTTTAGGGTACTTATAAGTCTACTTACAACTACTTACTAAGTTCCCCGACCCCCCAAGTAAACCCTGAACCCGGAACCCGAACCGCTGGTACCTTCAACTTCTGCAGACTCCATTTGACAAATCCCTACGCGGCTGCAACACTTCTTCCTATCATTAGTTTCTGTTCTTAATAATAACATGGTCACGAACTCGCTCAAAACTCGCCGCAGATCTACATGTTGTGGCGGATGCAATGACAGAACCCCACGACGGTAGGTTTAGAGTTCATGGTTTTCAGCTGCTGCTAAGACATAGCAGCGAGCGGAACTACCGGATGAACCAAGAACTACGAGTTCAAGTTAACATTAGCACACCCGTGTAATTGGTTACATACGCGCATCGTCTTCTGGAGATTGTCCAGCACTGTCGCAGCCATGGCTGCTGGAAGTGAGGTGGCCCGAACAGCCTGTAAGGTTTTTAACGCTTTGCAGTCCATGGGGTAAGTCGATAGACAATAGGAACCTCATTACCATGTTCACCTTCCTGCAATGGTATGGACCGCATCAAGAACCCAATCAAGAGCCTTGAGTTGCTGAAGTCGGGCTCCTACATCGTTCTCGATTGCAAGTAAAATAGGGGCCTCAATCATACTTACCTTGGGGGGTTTAGCTATTATATGGCCCCTATGTTATAGTACCCTTCAAGACTTGTAGATCCCTTATAGTAGCCCTTAAAGGACCACTTTAAAGGGAACCTTAATGTAATATAAGGCCCCTCTATTACATGACTACACCTGCACGCGGCTCCTCCTTGGGGTGATTCTGCGTATCTCCTGTCATCGATCCCTAAATTTAAAGCCCCAGTAAATCCTAAACCGTTAAACCCCTGAGCCCTTATAAACCCTTAAACCGTTGCACCCTAAACCCTAAAGCCTAAAACCCATTCTGTCTCAAAGCCTTCAAACCCAGACCTGCTCATGAGCTTCCCGGCGCCATTCCAAGACACGATTCTTGGGTTCCCCAAAACCCCGAAAGAAACCCTGAGGCTCTACACACTCAGCACTTCAACGCAAAAACCTAAAGCACGAAGATGTAAAGCCTATGCGAGCACCCTGAAACATCATTCTCGCTACCAAGGACCCTGCATCAAACACTTCTAGTAACTGGACCCTTGCAATGTTATAGGCCCCTACATCTTGCACGTCTAGAAGTATTTTCACATTCATTGATTACTATATTTTTAAGTTAACTCGTGTTGTTACTATCACTCTTACGTACTATTCTTCCTGTTACTATTATTGTCGACCACCCTGGACCCTAAACCTTAAATGCCTAAATCCCAAGACTGGCAAGCTAAAGGACAATTCCTTTAGCATAATTACCGCAAAACAGAACCCCAAACCCTAAACCCTAGAACAAATCCCTCAACCCTAAACCGTTAGCCTCAAACCGTTCAGCAGGTCCTGCTGTCACTTCCCACGCCCGCGCGCGCCCGGGGCCGGGGAAGGAGCAGTTTCGGTCCGGAGGGGCTCGAGACCGAGTTGAAAAATCAGAGGTGCTGGGTTTTAGGGTTTTCGGGTTCCTTGATGGGCTCCTTTGAGGGTTCTATAATATGGGTATTTTAGACAGGATTTAAGGGATTGGGGTGAGAGGATTGGGGTATAGAATTTAGATTGTGGTTTAGGGCTTAGGGATTGGGGCTTAGGGTTTAAGTCATCATGGTCTCGGGCTTATGGTCTTGGGGAATGAGGGCGTTGATGTTTTGAGATTGAGGAAGGAGTGGTCTGGCATGCTGCTCTTCATTGCGAGCGCAGTACTCTCACTGCCTATACTATTTTGCGGGTTCCTTATTATAGTATAATGGGCCCCGAAACCTTACTCTAATGATTAACTAAGGCCCCCCCCCCCCCATATTATAGTACCCTTGTAGATCCCTTATGGTAGCCCTTATACAGACCCCTTTAAAAGGGAACCCTATTCTCATTATTAAGGCCCCTTTTTGATCGCCCCGAAGAGTCGCTGATGGCTCAGCAGTCAAGCATGACCACACATCTACCTAAGGCAAAAGGCAGAAAGTTGGAATATGATTATCCTAAACCCTTTATGGTAGATTATAAGGTATCCTACCCTGAAACCATATTCCAACTTTCTGGGGTTCCCTGTATGGTCTCCATTGCAGTTTTGTTTGGTTTAATATACAGTAAACTCCATAAAGTTGGAAACCGGATTAAGGCCAAATGGTGCTGGGATTCCCTATTACATTACTCTTAAGGATTGAGGCTATGAGGTTTCCAACTTTTGGGCTTCTACTGTAGACTATAGGGATCCTACTTGGTAGTTGAGTGGATACGATAATATTACCCAGTAAAAAAACTGAAAGTGTACACTTTTGGGTTATGAGCTGCCTAAAAGGAAACCCCAAGAAGGAACTACCTGTAGTCTCTACTGTAGTTCCTTTTTTGGTTATCCAATTTAATGTTAGGACCCTATAATAGAGATTTTGGTCAACCAAAAAAAGGAACTACAATGGAGACTATAGGTAGAACCTGAAGATGAAGAGTTCCTGGAGTCAGCCAGGAAACCGAAGACCCACTGACAGGATCAGAGGACTTAGTGACTAGTATTCTGTTTTTGGTAAATCTGCTTCAGACCTGACTTCGTTTATATATATATATATATATATATTCCCACCTTTTAAGTATCACCGACAGCCCTGAGATCCTGAAGCCTCAACCCTGAAGCGCAAAACATATCCTGCTTCGCGAGCAACAGCCTCGAAACCCGATTGCCCAAGACCTGAAGCACCCGAAGAAACCCAAACCAGGGCCAAGCCCACATGCCTTTTACCCTACCAGAGGGAGCGAAATATTGTCGCGTGATTCGTGTAATAGTATGCGAAAAAGGACACACGCACACACCAAAACCCTATTCGCCCTATTCCAGTCATCGAGGTCTAACTCCTAGCAACTGTTAGATGATAATGGAAGGCCCCTAAATTGTGTGATTTAGCCTGAGGGTTTAGGAGGTTTAGGGCGTATAGGCTGAGCCGTAGCACCTCAGACACTTTGACAGGGACCCCGTCGTCTCCCGGTTCCTCGAGCCTCAGCCAATTTTAGTTATCAGGGTCGGAAGAATGACTACGTAATATTTCATGTTATCTTCCTACATGGTTTCATTTCTTTACAATTATAGCTGGCTGTTGTAGCATCCGACAACTCCGCCGAATTCGCCGGCACCGCCGCCCGGAGGGCCGTCGATTGGTCACTGGACAAGAGCAAGCCTTCATGTGCCAGATGACGGCGCTCGTGGCGAGTGTGAGCACCCTTGCATGCCTGAGGTGTGACAAGACAGTTTATGGCATAGTGGTTCAAACAGTATCAACTTAAGCTCTGATCCAGTTGCCGGGGATCTCATTGCTGAGGGGCCAGTCTTTGAGCATCCTCAAAGACCCGGCACAGAGATGATGTGAGGAAGCCACACGTGTAGGAGCGAGACCAGAGCCCAACAGGCCAGAGGTTCTCAAATCCTAAGCATCTGAACCCTTAAACCATACCCAAAAATCCTATTCACACTATATATCAAGGCCACTCTATTGCCTTTCGCTCTTTGAGAACTCAGGGCTGGAAAGCGCGGCCCCAGGCCGCCACCTTCCACGAAGGCGCGTGCATGACGGGTTAACCTTGGACTACCATACTACCTTTTCGGCAGGCTCTTAATATAAAC